TGATTATATCATTTCAAAAAGGTGTTATCGCCCTTAAGGACAAAACATTACCCATTAAACTGGAAATTTTGGTAGATGCAAAGATGTACATACTGTCTGATTGAGTGAGTGAGTTGGGTTTGAACTGTATGCCCATTATGTTACAGCATGTCAGCTTAATGTAGGAGGATAGCCCAAAGTGCTGCAGGCCTTACTGTCTGACATTCATAGACACTATGGAAAAGATTTTGGAAAGAGAGCTCACTCAAAAATATTATGGAACAAATATTTTCAAATTATTCCATCAAACAAATTCAGATATCAAGTTACAAAGACAGATATCAAGTTACAAAATCGAAACAATCCATCTGAACAGGAAACAAAAAGTACTTTGAAGATTTCCCAAAGCAATATATACACAGCAGGCAACCATAATAATGTTAAAGGTAGAAGGTATTTTAGATGAAAAATTGCTTTTTATCAAAAATGTAATCAGAGAAAAACAACAAATCATTATCCTCATCTCGTTTAAGATATGCAGGTGTTTCTTTCAAAAACTGTTTTTAAACTTTGACCGTAATGGCAGTTGAGTGATAAAGACACCCCAGAATGCATGAACATCTCCGCCATAAGATCAGCAGAAACAGCCTTACTATACCTACTGCCATAACAACTTGTTGATTCCATCTAGAAACACAGTAACCTGTCCCTTATCACAGACATCAACAAGAGAAGGTTACCCTACAAAATGTTACAGGTTTTAGCGATGTCATGCAAAAACATTTGCGGGTAACTGTACCCCAGAATTAGCAAGATTTAGTGGGCGTCGCTGACTCGTGTTCACACAATTGTGATCCCGGTGCTGTTTCCGAGAGGGACTTGCACGTCAGAAAACTGTAATTAACTTCAACAGACTGGAGTATCAGGTTACAAGCGGAGAAACTCGAACCTTGGGAATGGAGAAATTTAAGTAGCTAAGTACAGGTCTGAGTAGTGACAAATGTACAATAGGAAGAAAGACTTCAATTGTGGTTCAAATTAACAGTATCAGTTTTACTCCCACTGGGAAACTTATTCCGTCGGGGAACCGTGCAGGTTTTTTTTATCTGAACTGTTTAAGAGCTGAAGTGATCCATTCATCTGCCCATCTAATGGGAGATTAGGCTAATTCAGGCTAGAAGGCCAGTTATTGCAGGAATTCTAATTGATTATCCTTTCAATGTATAATGACTAACAATGGACCATAAGTGGACATATGAATAGAATTTGCACTCGTGTAGCCCTCTATGTTAAAAGTTGTGTACTGCACAAGGGTTACAGATCAAATTAAGATAGTTTTGTGGTGAAAAGATGGCTTTACCTGCTCAGGACAAGCCTTGTTTCTTTGCCATGAATTATAGTCTTGATATAAAGAGTGAAGTGATTTACAGATTTTAGTTGCTGGGACTTTCTCTTGAATTATCCGAACCCGAGCATGCAATGATAGGCTTCATGAGAAATACTTCCTGTTGCATAATAAAAAGAAAATTATCATTTAATAGCAGTTTCTTGGCTTTCTAAATCTTTCATCCTAAAATGTGTTTTGAATTGCAAGAAGACGTCATGGTATCTGGGATAAAATCACATGATTACTGTGTTGGATTATAATCTCATTGAATCATAACATGAATTAACTTTTCTAATGAGCGTGCTATTTTCCTTCTTTTGCAACTGATCTTATCTTATACTTCATTACTGAAAATGCATATTACATAGTGCATATTTATGATAATTAGCTCACATAGGACCTGAGGGTAAACAAGTACTGAGAGCGCAGACTGTACTCACACTGCTAACTCCAACTGTATGCCGACTGCCTGCCCAGACAGTTAACTCTGTCTGTACACTCTGACTGTTAACACAGACTGTCTGCCCAGACTGAAAACCCTGTCTGTATGCCCAGGCTGTTAACCCTGTCTGTATGCTGACTGTTAACAGACTGTCTGCCAAGACTGAAAACCCTGTCTGCATGCCCAGGCTGTTAACCCTGTCTGTATGCTGACTGTCTGCCCAGACTGAAAACCCTGTCTGCATGCCCAGGCTGTAAACCCTGCATGTATGCTGACTGTTAACACAGACTGTCTGAGCAGACTGAAAACCCTGTCTGCATTGCCCAGGGTGTAAACCCTGTCTGTATGCTGACTGTTAACACAGACTGTCTGCCCAGACTGAAAACCCTGTCTGCATGCCCAGGCTGTTAACCCTGTCTGCATGCCCAGGCTGTAAGCCCTGTCTGTATGCTGACTGTTAACAGACAGTCTGCCCAGACTGAAAACCCTGTCTGCATGCCCAGGCTGTTAACCCTGTCTGTATGCTGACCAGACTGAAAACCCTGTCTGTTCACTGACTGTTAACCCTGTCTGTACACTGACTGTTAACCCTGTCTGTACACTGAATGTTAACCATGTCTGTACACTGACTGTTAACCCTGTCTGTACACTGAGTGTTAACCCTGTCTGTACACTGAGTGTTAACCCTGTCTGTACACTGACTGTTAACCCTCTCTGTATGCAGACTATTACTGTTTACCCTGTCTGTATGCTTTGACTGTTAACCCTGTCTGTATGCTTTGACTGTTAACCCTGTCTGTACACTGACTGTTAACCCTGTCTGTACACTGAGTGTTAACCATGTCTGTACACTGACTGTTAACCCTGTCTGTCCACTGACTGTTAACCCTGTCTGTACACTGTTAACCCTGTCTGTACACTGATAACCCTGTCTGCATGCTGACTGATAACCCTGTGTGTATGCTGGCTGATAACCCTGCCTGTACGCTGACTGATAACCCTGTCTGTATGCTGACTGTTAATTGTTTACCCTGTCTGTATGCTTTGACTGATAACCCTGTCTGTTTGCTTTGACTGATAATCCTGTCTGTATGCTGACTGATAACCCTGTCTGTAAGCTGACTGTTAATTGTTTACCCTGTCTGTATGCTTTGACTGATAACCCTGTCTGTATGCTTTGACTGATAACCCTGCCTGTACGCTGACCCATAACCCTGTCTGTATGCTGACTGATAACCCTGTCTGTAAGCTGACTGTTAATTGTTTACCCTGTCTGTATGCTTTGACTGATAACCCTGTCTGTATGCTTTGACTGATAACCCTGCCTGTATGCTGACCGATAACCCTACCTGTATGCTGACCGATAACCCTGCCTGTACGCTGACCGATAACCCTACCTGTATGCTGACCGATAACCCTGCCTGTACTCTGACCAATAACCCTGCCTGTACGCTGACCGATAACCCTACCTGTATGCTGACCGATAACCCTGCCTGGACGCTGACTTTTAACCCTGTCGTACGCTGACTGATAACCCTGTCTGTATGCTGACCGATAACCCTGTCTGTATGCTGACCGATAACCATGCCTGTACGCTGACTGATAACCCTGTCTGTATGCTGACCGATAACCCTGTCTGTACACTGACTGTGAACCCCATCTGTACACTCTTACTGATAACCCCGGTTGTACACTGACTATTAACCCTGTGTACAGACCGGGTTATCAGTCAGCATACAGACAGGGTTAACAGTCTGCGTACAGACAGGGTTATCAGTCAGCATACAGACAGGGTTAACAGGCAGAGTGTAACCATACTGGCACACATAAGAACACATCCCATGGTCTTAAGGTGTTGTTTTTGGCATGGCACTGCCTATTAGTTTCAATCATGACACAAGAATTAACGACGCGTGGCAGCACGGTTTTCCATCACTAACACGACACACACTTGCCAACATCCTTCACTTGCATGTATGTTTACAAAGAAAACTCCATCCCATTGCATGCCACAATCATTATCCTCACATATTAGAGCCCAGAAAATTTAAATTCAAGCATAACATCACCGACTGAACTGTGGTACTTCAATTCTGATTTCAATGATATATATTTAAAATGATAAGTCAAAGAGTGAGAAGATGACAGCTCTGCTCACAGTTTGTCCCAAGATAAGCTATTGCCTTTGTGTTGTTCTATTTCTAAAAATAACCCCATTTTGTGGCTATTTAGTGGACAGAAGAGCTGTACATTCTGAGCAGCTTAGGCACAGATATCAATGACAAATCACAAATGTACTGTACTTGAAAACAGGACAAACACAGAAAATGGTGAACATATGGACAGGCTGAACAGAATAGCAAGAAATAGTTATTGAAAAGGATTCAGCTGTGGGTAAATCTAAACAGTGTCTGGCATGGCATGTCCACATCGTAATGAATAAAAGGTTAGTTACATCTAAAAAAACCCACAATAACAACAGCAGCATTCCTTGATGACATGACATGACATCCTCATTGTGTCCATCTATGACTGGAGACACACATACATACATCTTATGGTTAGTTAGGTATATAAAAAAACATACAGACAAGACAGGTCTTCGTACAGACCAAGGGAAATAACTTGGTATGAAAAGAGACTATTCAAATCAGTTTCAGACTGATGAGAATTCTTATGGGTCACTCATTGTTGAGAAATACAGGCATACATTCATTGCTCAGAAACAAGTGGTCATGTGTTTTAGTTTTTCAGGGTACATGACCCAGGCAACATAGCATCTGAAGCACTCTAATTGATCTTCATTCCATTTTAACTTTGAACAATCATAATAACAATCTCTGATTGAAAGAGCTGATTTTTGACAACCACTGGAACCTTCTGTCTCAATCATTGTCAGAAGGTAGTTCGAATAATATCAACAAATGTTGGAAACAAATTGCTTGTTTTTACCTGATCAAATTCTAATATACCCATCCAAGAAAAACTTATACATAAGAAATAAATTAGGAGTGTGTACTACAAAGTTAAGGGACAACCATTTGAATATAGATATTCTCTATCTATTGCATCTAAAGGTCACATATCTCAACTCTACAATGAAAACAGTATGTTTATCTCCTTATTGCCAAAATGAATTGAGCATAAAATACATTCATATAACCATGGTAACATACTCCTTGCAATACTTACAGTTGAAATCCTCACAAAGCAAAGACGACTTCCTTGCTGTCATCATTGCCGTTGCTGAGGTTTGGTCCATCCATATCGCCCAGGTCTGGCACCATGTCTTCAATGTGTTGTTGTTTCCTGCTGTCCGACATGCCTGCCAACACAGAGGTGTGCTGTTACAAGTTTACCATTTGTAGCACACTAGCTGGGCCAATACGTGTCTACACCCTGAAGGCGTTTCAATAACCACTGCTCAAAGCCAGTGTATTATAATATTTATTAGTCTGCCAAGGCATCATTTTTGATGGTGAAGAAAAAGATTTTATATAGCAGTCTTCTGAGGTTGACCATAAGGGCCTCAGTCAAACCAAGATTAATACTGCCCTATAGAGACATGATGTAAACGATCACATTTCTATGTCCATGCTTATTAAATAAACTGCTGGAATAAAAGCTCATCCACACACACAGGACAGGGTGCATTCTCATAAACTCACGCTGCAAACTTAATCCCAGCAGCAATTCCAACCTTATGGTAAACAATAATAATGCAAGAGAGTCGGGGTCAATATGACAAACACCCGTATTGAAAACTGTACACCTTGAAATCTAGTGTTGCATCCAGACTTGGGCACAGTATGTAAGCCTACCTGCATTAGGTTTGTCCATGACTGGCAGACCCATCGGCTCCAGTTCATTGAGCGTCCGGCCGTTCTTCATCCCTTCATCTCTCTTGTGCTTCTTCTTCTTCTTCTTGTCTTTGTACTTGGTGTTGACAACTGAGTCCAGTGCAGATGTGTCGCCCATCAAGGAATCTGTTTCTCCATTTTCTGTTATGCTCTTGTTGGATGGAGGCAGTTTCATTTTTCGCTCTTTCCGATCTACATTGAAGAATGTATATATGAAGTTCATACTATCCTGACAAATGCTATCACCTCTTATCTACAGCCAGAATCTAACAGAATTGCACTTGCCAAAGTAAGACTGGCTGATACTTGTTAATATAAGACTAAAATCTACTGAAAAAATTCCGGCATCCCATTTAGTGAATGAGTGGTTAACATCACCTTGAGGCTTCTCTCAGTTATTTCACTGTGTGTTAGTTTAATATGGGAGAAAGGCTTACAGTAGAACTAGTCTTACGAGCTTACTATTTTGGTGCATGGTTATGGTGGTGACAAACTTAGGAGCCATATCGGGAAATATCTGGGATATTAACCCATGAAGAGCGAATATGTGTGGATATGTTTAACACCGCACTCAGCAATATTCTAGCTATATCACAGCAGTCTATCCACAAACAAGTCTAGACCAGTCAATCCAGAGATTGACACTGTGAACATGGATCAAACAATTGGGATATGATGACATGCATCAACCAAGTCATCGAGCCTGACAACCACCGTTGGTCACCTCTTACAACAAGCATGGGTTGCTGAAGATCTAAGCCAGATCTTCATGGGTTGATGACTTTTCATGTATTGACTCACCTGACAACCCTTCAACAAGCCTTACACCTTTCCCAAGTCTATCACAGAGTAACGCTATATGCTTCTTCACTTTGGTTGTATCCTGTGGAACAGTAAGGGGGGAGGGGTTCACAGTCTGGTCCTTCGCTGACTTGGCCAGTGTCGTCCGCAACAGATGCGTCACAGCTGCATCTACCATCTCCTGCCACCCCTGCAAGATTCAACCACTCAGTACATGTATACAATCTACCATCTCAGGCCACCCCTGAAAGATTCAACCACTCAGTACATGTATACCATCTACCATCTCAGGCCAACCCTGCAAGATTCAACCACTCAGTACATGTATACCATCTACCATCTCCTGCCACCCCTGCAAGATTCAACCACTCAGTACATGTATACCATCTACCATCTCAGGCCACCCCTGCAAGATTCAACCACTCAGTACATGTATACCATCTACCATCTCCTGCCACCCCTGCAAGATTCAACCACTCAGTACATGTATACCATCTACCATCTCAGGCCACCCCTGCAAGATTCAACCACTCAGTACATGTATACCATCTACCATCTCAGGCCACCCCTGCAAGATTCAACCACTCAGTACATGTATACCATCTACCATCTCAGGCCACCCCTGCAAGATTCAACCACTCAGTACATGTATACCATCTACCATCTCAAGCCACCCCTGCAAGATTCAACCACTCAGTACATGTATACCATCTCCCATCTCAAGCCACCCCTGTAAGATTCAACCAATCAGTACATGTATACCATCTACCATCTCCTGCCACCCCTGCAAGATTCAACCACTCAGTACATGTATACCATCTACCATCTCAGGCCACCTCTGCAAGATTCAACCACTCAGTACATGTATACCATCTACCATCTCAGGCCACCCCTGCAAGATTCAACCACTCAGTACATGTATACCATCTACCATCTCAGGCCACCTCTGCAAGATTCAACCACTCAGTACATGTATACCATCTACCATCTCCTGCCACCCCTGCAAGATTCAACCACTCAGTACATGTATACCATCTACCATCTCCTGCCACCCCTGTAAGATTCAACCACTCAGTACATGTATACAATCTACCATCTCAGGCCAACCCTGCAAGATTCAACCACTCAGTACATGTATACAATCTACCATCTCAGGCCACCCCTGCAAGATTCAACCACTCAGTACATGTATACAATCTACCATCTCAGGCCACCCCTGTAAGATTCAACCACTCAGTACATGTATACCATCTCCCATCTCAAGCCACCCCTGTAAGATTCAACCACTCAGTACATGTATACCATCTACCATCTCAGGCCACCCCTGTAAGATTCAACCACTCAGTACATGTATACCATCTACCATCTCAAGCCACCCCTGTAAGATTCAACCACTCAGTACATGTTTACAATCTCCCATCTCAGGCCACCCCTGTAAGATTCAACCACTCAGTACATGTATACCATCTACCATCTCAGGCCACCCCTGCAAGATTCAACCACTCAGTACATGTATACCATCTACCATCTCAGGCCACCCCTGCAAGATTCAACCACTCAGTACATGTATACGATCTACCATCTCAGGCCAACCCTGCAAGATTCAACCACTCAGTACATGTATACCATCTACCATCTCAGGCCACCCCTGCAAGATTCAACCACTCAGTACATGTATACCATCTCCCATCTCAGGCCACCCCTGCAAGATTCAACCACTCAGTACATGTATACCATCTACCATCTCAGGCCACCCCTGCAAGATTCAACCACTCAGTACATGTATACCATCTACCATCTCAGGCCACCCCTGCAAGATTCAACCACTCAGTACATGTATACCATCTACCATCTCAGGCCACCCCTGCAAGATTCAACCACTCAGTACATGTATACCATCTACCATCTCAGGCCACCCCTGAAAGATTCAACCACTCAGTACATGTATACCATCTACCATCTCCTGCCACCCCTGAAAGATTCAACCACTAAGTACATGTATACCATCTACCATCTCCTGCCACCCCTGCAAGATTCAACCACTCAGTACATGTATACCATCTCCCATCTCAGGCCACCTCTGCAAGATTCAACCACTCAGTACATGTATACAATCTACCATCTCAGGCCACCCCTGAAAGATTCAACCACTCAGTACATGTATACCATCTACCATCTCCTGCCACCCCTGCAAGATTCAACCACTAAGTACATGTATACCATCTACCATCTCAGGCCACCCCTGCAAGATTCAACCACTCAGTACATGTATACCATCTACCATCTCCTGCCACCCCTGCAAGATTCAACCACTCAGTACATGTATACAATCTACCATCTCAGGCCACCCCTGTAAGATTCAACCACTCAGTACATGTATACAATCTACCATCTCAGGCCAACCCTGCAAGATTCAACCACTCAGTACATGTATACCATCTACCATCTCCTGCCACCCCTGCAAGATTCAACCACTCAGTACATGTATACCATCTACCATCTCAGGCCACCCCTGCAAGATTCAACCACTCAGTACATGTATACCATCTCAGGCCAACCCTGCAAGATTCAACCACTCAGTACATGTATACCATCTACCATCTCAGGCCACCCCTGTAAGATTCAACCACTCAGTACATGTATACCATCTACCATCTCAGGCCACCCCTGCAAGATTCAACCACTCAGTACATGTATACCATCTACCATCTCAGGCCACCCCTGCAAGATTCAACCACTCAGTACATGTATACCATCTACCATCTCAGGCCACCCCTGCAAGATTCAACCACTCAGTACATGTATACCATCTACCATCTCAGGCCACCCCTGCAAGATTCAACCACTCAGTACATGTATACCATCTACCATCTCAGGCCACCCCTGAAAGATTCAACCACTCAGTACATGTATACCATCTACCATCTCAGGCCACCCCTGTAAGATTCAACCACTCAGTACATGTATACCATCTACCATCTCAGGCCACCCCTGTAAGATTCAACCACTCAGTACATGTATACAATCTCCCATCTCAAGCCACCCCTGTAAGATTCAACCACTCAGTACATGTATACCATCTACCATCTCCTGCCACCCCTGCAAGATTCAACCACTCAGTACATGTATACATTCTCCCATCTCAGGCCACCTCTGCAAGATTCAACCACTCAGTACATGTATACAATCTACCATCTCAGGCCACCCCTGCAAGATTCAACCACTCAGTACATGTATACAATCTACCATCTCAAGCCACCCCTGCAAGATTCAACCACTCAGTACATGTATACAATCTCCCATCTCAAGCCACCCCTGCAAGATTCAACCAGTCAGTACATGTATACCATCTACCATCTCAAGCCACCCCTGCAAGATTCAACCACTCAGTACATGTATACAATCTCCCATCTCAGGCCACCCCTGTAAGATTCAACCACTCAGTACATGTATACCATCTACCATCTCAGGCCACCCCTCAACACACTCAACAGCACCTGCACAATCTACAGTGAGTGAGTGCAGTTTGTTTTATACAACAGTATGCAATATTCAGGCTCTATCATGGCAGCCTATAAATAAGAGTGCAGTTTGTTTTATACAACAGTATGCAATATTCAGGCTCTATCATGGCAGCCTATTAATAAGAGTGCAGTTTGTTTTATACAACAGTTTGCAATATTCAGGCTCTATCATGGCAGCCTATTAATAAGAGTGCAGTTTGTTTTATACAACAGTTTGCAATATTCAGGCTCTATCATGGCAGCCTATTAATAAGAGTGCAGTTTGTTTTATACAACAGTATGCAATATTCAGGCTCTATCATGGCAGCCTATTAATAAGAGTGCAGTTTGTTTTATACAACAGTATGCAATATTCAGGCTATATCATGGCAGCCTATTAATAAGAGTGCAGTTTGTTTTATACAACAGTATGCAATATTCAGGCTCTATTATGGCAGCCTATTAATAAGAGTGCAGTTTGTTTTATACAACAGTATGCAATATTCAGGCTCTATCATGGCAGCCTATTAATAAGAGTGCAGTTTGTTTTATACAACAGTATGCAATATTCAGGCTCTATCATGGCAGCCTATTAATAAGAGTGCAGTTTGTTTTATACAACAGTATGCAATATTCAGGCTCTATCATGGCAGCCTATTAATAAGAGTGCAGTTTGTTTTATACAACAGTATGCAATATTCAGGCTCTATCATGGCAGCCTATTAATAAGAGTGCAGTTTGTTTTATACAACAGTATGCAATATTCAGGCTCTATCATGGCAGCCTATTAATAAGAGTGCAGTTTGTTTTATACAACAGTATGCAATATTCAGGCTCTATTATGGCAGCCTATTAATAAGAGTGCAGTTTGTTTTATACAACAGTATGCAATATTCAGGCTCTATCATGGCAGCCTATTAATAAGAGTGCAGTTTGTTTTATACAACAGTATGCAATATTCAGGCTCTATCATGGCAGCCTATTAATAAGAGTGCAGTTTGTTTTATACAACAGTATGCAATATTCAGGCTCTATCATGGCAGCCTATTAATAAGAGTGCAGTTTGTTTTATACAACAGTATGCAATATTCAGGCTCTATCATGGCAGCCTATTAATAATCCTTTGTTTGATAGCAGGAGCAAAGATCTACACCGTCAGGGCATAATAACACATGGTCAAGGCAAGTGTCCATTACACATCAGTACTTTTTATTCCTGTTACCAGGCAGTGAGAGAGTGAGTTGGGTTTAACGTCGCTTTTAACAGTATTCCAGTTATAGCGCGGCGTGTCAGCTTAATGTAGGAGGAAAGCCCGAAGTGATACAGGTCTCAGACATTTACCACTCAGGTGAAACCCACGAGCACGGGTATGGTGCTGACAAACCTAGAAATATAATCGGGGCGAACCGGGATTCAAGCCCACAATCATAGGTTTCTAGCGTGCCCAAGGGACTCAACTGCACAGCGAATCGCGGCGCCTGAGACGACTGGACCACCCGTGCCCCATAATCCATGCAGGGATTGACCATTTACAACCTATGTCAGCAGAGTGAGTGGAAGAGTGAGCATTGTTAAAGGCCCCTTTAAGCAATATTCCAACCACATAATTGCAGGGGGACAACAAATGGGCTGCACACATTGTGGGAAATTAAATCTAGGTATTCCTGAGGACAAGCTAACACTGAAACGACTAGCCTACCCACCCCCCCAGCCTCACTAATCATAGTGAGTAACTCACTAAGGGATGTTCTCAGTTTACAGAACTAAAGACAGGAGACATCATCTCACCTGTTGTTCACTATCATTCACTATGGGGGACACCGCTGACTCCAAGACCTGGAATTCATCATCAGTCATGTCCGTCCAGATCTTGATGAGGAAGTTGAGCAAGTGTGTAGCTGAGCTGAGGTTTGTGGCGGCCACCTCCTGGGCCCGTCTATTCTCCTCCACACCATCTGCTAGAGCGATGATCTGTACACACACAAAAATAAATCGGTGAATGAGTGAGTTTGAATAGTAAGCTTTATGTGGGCAGCAAACCCAAAGATATGCAGGTCTAGGCATTTTTTATGGCATGGTTATGGTGCTGACAAACCAAAGATCAGAATCAGAGGGAATCTGGGCATCAAACCAACAATCGTTAGGTGCACAACTATTCAAAGCAATGGCATTGCTTTAGGGACCCGTGAAGAACCGGGGTAGAATAGGTCTTCACCAACCCATGCTTGCCGTAATAGGCGACTAATAGGATCAGGTGGTCAGGCTCGCTGACTTGGTTTGATGCATGTCATCGATCAAAATTGCGTTGATCAATGCACTAATGTCAGTTACTGGATTGTCTGGTCCAGACTTGATTATTTACAGACCGCATCATATAACTAGACTATTGCTGAGTGTGGTGTTAAACAACAAACAAGCCACAAACAAGCATTGCTTTAGGACCATTCATGACCAAATTTGCTATACATAAAAACACATAGTGAACCTTCTATGTATATTCAATAGCCATTTATATTCCAAACACTGACACTGTCTGTTGTTTGAATGAGTAGTTTGCATTATCTCTACCTAATCATGGATGTCGACTTGTAAAAGTGACTGTAGTGGTTTGTTTGTTGTTTAATGTCACACTGTAAATAATCGAGTCTGGGCCAGATAATCCAGTGATTGAAACCATGAGCAATTGGGATGGATTATATAAATCAACCAAGTCAACGAGCCTGACCACCTGATCCTGTTAATTGCCTCTTACGACAATTATGGTTGCTGAAGACCACTTCTAACCCAGATCTTCAGGGGTTGACTGTAGTAGTACTAGTACTTCAACTACAGAAGCTCCCATATTTTGACATAGGCTTAAAAAAGGTGCAGTCCCATTACTGCTCCAGGCATCATTGTGACACTGGATATAGCCAATTTGATTACTGCCATGGAAGCATATGATATCATAATTAGATGCTATCCCTATATTTAGTCGTTGAATGACAGTGCCCTGTGTTACACAGCGTTACAATGTAGATAAATGTTGTTGATCCCAGGCATCCAATACTAAATGACAAGCACATATCTGATGCTGCACTCCTTCCTGCTGCCACTAGAAATGCCCACCTGTCTGAAAGTGCCTTCCAGGAGAGTGTCCAGGTTCTGTAGTGGAGATGGAGTTTTGTCCTTGAACTTGGTGAGCAATCTCTTCTGAATCATCCGGAACTGCTGGGCCCTCTGCTCCAGAACCTCCTTACATTTCTCAGCACTCAACCGAAACTAGAAAAATATTGACCCATTTTACCATTATCAATACAGTAATAGACAGTTTGAAGCAACAACCTGGACAGCTAGTCATGACACTGTGTTTAATATGACAGGAATAAATATGATATCCAGACAACAGCTCTTCCAACACACATTGTTTCATCCACATCATTTTTTAATGTCTACATACGTAGAGAAAACATACCGGTATTCAATTAAATGGTTAACTTTCATCTATTTTCACTGGTGTATTTTTCCTTTGTTTACAACATATACAATGGTTGTATGGTTCTCATGCTGACATTGAATCCTTATTGATAATGACAGAGCCACTTTGATACATAAAGATATATTTTCAAACTTTCATGGGAGTGTTTTGTTTGTTGTGTAACAAATACTCAGCCATATCAGCGGTAGAAACTAACATTTTTAGTCCACTAGTCCTAATGATAATAGCATATAGTAAAATCCTTAAGAATGGCAAATTTCTACTAAAGTACTCATGGAAATGAAAAAAACCTGTTTTGCGCGATTTAATAATTGACACAAAGCATTACGTAGATGTAAATACGAAATAACAAAACAACTGGAAAAGTACTAGTCTGGATTTGCTAGTGCTCAATACAAAATGTACTTTACAGGAGGTAATTTGTAGGCACTTTCAACATTCAAAAATAAAACTAAGTCCAAATTGACATGGCAGAAACAGGCTAAATAAGCCTGGAAAAAAGTTATCAAAACAACAATAAAAATAACAGCTATGTTTATGTACATAGTAATAATGACATGTAAGTTGTTGTTTGAGAAGGGAATATGTTACTTTTACGTTCTGATATTTTGACGATGATTCACTATCCCACAATGCCACTCACAAATCACTTACCACTGACAAATCACATGCACGTGGGTTTCAAGCGTCTGTTTTCACCTGTCGTCAAGGTGTCATAGGTCATGGACATTCACCTTGATCTACTAACACCTGGTTATGCTCAGTTTCACAATAGTCTGTTTGTTCATATTTTTACACACTTTTACATGTAAAAAGACATAAAAACCTTTGATACGCTGTATTTGTGCCAAAGCCCAATTAGTACTAATTGAGTTGTTTGAATATTTATATATTTTGTATATTAACTGCAATTATTTAAAATGAGATCGAAAAAACAGGGTTTTTTTCATTTCCGTGAGTACTTTAGTCCTTATGGTACCTTAACTATTGAGCAGTTTGGCAAGGACTACAGGACTAGTGCCAATTTATAATGCTGCATATGACAGTAGCCTGACAGTAGCCTGTAAATAATCCAGTTATCACCTGATAACATAGGTCGTCTCTTATGACCAGCACAGGTTGTTGTGACAAATTCTAACCCGGATTCCTCATTGAAGCTGTTGCTGTTGTAGTAGGGCAGTGGCTAATTTCCGCAGACAGACATCCATTAGCGGCGTTCAAAACTAAGGGGGGTTCCTTGGGCCCTTGAGGTTTGCTTCTATAGTACTAGGGTCACCCTTACATTTCTTACATAGGCTATGACATGGAACCAACAACTTTCAAACGTAAACCATGATTACACTGGTTACCATGGACTTCTCTGATATCAGCATATCCAGATACCCTGTTTGTTTACAAACCAGAGACAATTCTGGTCATTTGACCTGATTGAAGTAGCATGTGGCAGCAGTATAATGATAGCATGATGATAAATCACTACATCACTGAGCATGTATGATATTAGGAATACATGAACATAATTTCTTCCCAATGCAGTGTTCCTGAGTCACACAAGTCCTGTACAAGAGAGTCAGGCAGATGCCTGTTTGGTGCTCACCTCAAAGTGAACATCCACCAAATCAAAGTACTCCTGAAGCGGCAAAGCTCCATCAAAGAAAACCTTAAAGTCTTTGGCACGATTAAAGTGGTTGCTAAGTCGACCAGCTAACTCCCTCATCGGCAGCCATAATGCTTCAATTTGGTCACACTGTAATCTGTATCGTTCTGAAATTAATATGCAAAAGAAACAAATGAATATAAAGTACAGGTATGTAATGTTAAGAAGCATCTTTGTCAGCAAATTTCAACCATACTTTTATTGAAAAGCATGTACATGATGTATGATGACTAGTGTCATATAAAGTTCAACACAATGTTGTTATCACATGGGCAAAGTTTCACTAGAAAAGGGACACATTTTGAAACATATTATCCATCCCTTGATTTGTTGTTCATAACTAACTACTTCGTCCATACTTCACAGGTTTGTAAACGTTGTGTACATTATGTTCCTTTGCCATGTGATTGAAAGATAACAATATAGATTAAAAAGGGTTTTGGGGCTGCAAACACCTAACTAGGTCCATGATTGAGCCGTGGTCACAGTGTTTAAAAAATGGAAATTCGACTTTAAATGGAAATATCACAAACCTGGTTCCTCCATTACCCACTATGTGGTATAATCACTATTTTTAACCAACATATCTAGCAAGAGCCAGGTTCCAGTGATTGTAAAGCCGACACAACACAAACAGCAATGTTTTTCACTTAATAACATATGCAACATGTGCTGTAGTCTCGCTGCCTTAATGTCAGGCAATGGTAGTGTTCGCACAAAAAGGGCTTGGTTGACCTCCATGAGTTTCAAACAGCCTCATATCACAGGCATAGCGGTTGTGTGTATTGATGGAGAAACACTATGGAAACATGCCCACAAAGTATTGATGATGAACCATTGAACCCTTGATCACATCTGAAAATGGATACGATAAGTATCTTGTAAGGGCTTTGACTTCTGAGCTTATTAACTGAGAACACTCACGTGATGTTTTTGAGGCAAGGACAGTAACAACAGGTCCTCCATAGAACTGGAAGCCCAGAGCAGCACCCTGGCCTCCTGCATTCTCTCCCAGCAGATCTGGAACAGTGCAACAGATAAATCAGATAATAACATATCAATATATATTCTGAAGAACCCCCGAGCTAATGATATGTACATCAGACATGAATGGTGTGTAGGCCACACCATGTAATAAATGTTTTCAATGCAGTCCACCTTGGTGAAACCAATGCATATTGGTATGGTGATGACAAACCTACGAACATAATCAGGGCGAAGCTGGGATTCGAATCCATGATCATAGGTTTCTGGCAGGCCTAAGGGACACAACTCTGTACAGTGACTTGCAGAACCAGAGACGATTTTACCACCTGTGCCAAACATAAACACCAAACCACAGTGAGAGGGTGAGATTCGGGTTGTCAACAGTAAGTAAGTCTTTTCACACCAACACCTTGACCTCCTTCGTGAGGACGGAAAGCTAAAGTGAAGTGACAGGTCACACATATACAACTTTGATAAACCCTGCAAGTACAGTTTGTTGATGATGAAGGATTAAAGTGAATGTATATCTGAAATCTGTGGTCACAAGAGTGGTATCCGCTATCTAAGGGACACAACTCTGCGTTGTCTTGAGTTGTCACAGCTCAAGTAACCAATAAGCATCAACAAAATTAATAGAGCATGTCATAACAATAAATACATCGTGTTGCTGACCATGTCATTCTGCATCAGACAGTTGTGAAATTGTAGCAATGTATTGCTTGCTTTACTATCCAACATCTACTGATTGCAAATACAAACCTATGGTTAAGCAACTATGGATGAAGAACAATAAATGGGCAACACTGCTGATAAAAAATCATTTGATCAGTAATGCAAAACATCAACAGAAAACATAAATGGGTAAACAATAAACAGTTCACTAGACTCACCTGGGAAAAGTTCATTGAGATTGACTGGTGGCTTGTTGGTATCTATTGTCAACTTGTGGACGGCAACTTTGACAGGGAACACTGGCTTCACCACCAGGTTAAAGGGTAGCTTCAGTTTCGCTGTGCTGACTCGCGGTGCTCCTGGAGAAGCAGAAGGGAGTTTCAGGAGACTTGCAGTTGAATCAATGTGTGTCATAAATAAACAGCATATCTAGAACAACCACATCTGAGAGTGCACCAATCACTGGCCCTGAACTTGTGAGAAGATCACTACAGTTAGTGTTGATTCTGACACCATGATCAATTTCAAATTAACATGACAACTACATGTAGTAAACATGTGAATACCATTTTAAGCCACATCAGCAATATATTAGTCATATCACAGCAGCATGTGATTAATCTAATCTGTCAAGGCAAACACTGGGTTTTAAATAATGAACAATGACCCATGATGACCGGGCACAATGTAAATCATGAGATCCTTGTAGTTTTCTGCTACAAAAATTACATCAAGGGATAGGATGAATCTGTATCTATCACATCAGTGTTAGGACAAGGATCACTCTTAATTTTAAACACTACTTAGCATAAGCATTGTAATTGTTATGTTTTCTGAATGCATACAGCATATGAATGTGTACATACTCCTCCTAAAGTCCATTATAAGAATTACAGAAACAACAAAATGCATCATGCAACACTACGCTACCTGAGGCGCTTGTATATCTGGCGGAGACTTCTGCAGAGAGGTGGGCAGGCAGGCCAGCACCGCACATGAAGAAGGCACAGAAACACTCTGTAGGTTTATTGGGGTCTGCAAGAAAGGGTGCAGTTGGTATTATCTTGAAGGTGAGGTGAGGTGAAATTGGGTTTAACGTCGCGTTCAAGATTATTGCACTTATATAGCGACGTGCATGCACGTGTGTTTGTGTGTGTGGCTGCTTGTAATAGACCGGACTGATGCCGATTTATAGTGCTAGCTCACTGAGATACCATGCCGCAGTTTAACATGAATACCCCACTCAGACACAGTATACTGACTCCGAGCCAACCAGTCCTTGCTTTAACCCCTTAATGCCGAGCGCCAGACTGGGAAACAACAAGTACCATCTTTTAACGTCTTTTGGTATGACGCGGCCGGGGATCGAACCCCGGACCTTCGGCTCTCCGGGCGGACGCTCTACCACTAGACCACGGAGACGGTCGTATTATCTTGAAGTCATATTCAGCACAAGTGTAAATCAAGTATTCAAAGTGAATGGCTGTAACAAATGCTTTACACACAGGGAACAACAGTAATCGGTTTGGATCACAATCGATTGATTCAGTAAATATTTTGGCACAATAGGCTAGCTAGGTCATCCACTGTAACCACAGGATGCTCATTTTAGTCAACTTATACAAGAAGCATGGTGTACTGGGAACCTATTATAATCTGGAATCCAAACACAGCTTTTAGTAATGAGAAGATCAAGTTATTTTTTACGGTCCAACACTCACCCACTGACGGAACTGTGAAAGATGTTTGGTTGGCCGTGAGGGGCCAGTTGGTGTGAATCTCAATTCTAACATTATCCAAAAGAAGTCGAGATTTCAGCTGGATCTGAGCAACAAAGAATACAAGACTGATTACTCCAGTAACAATTCATATTTTCAATACTCATTTATTTCATTTTATATTACATTAGATTTGAATGTGAATAAATAGATAATATTACAAGTTACCTGAGCTACTTTGAATATTACTTGTTACAATTCTGTTACCATTACAGCATACATGTATTCCCTATACTTACTCTTGCTGTTATGGAAGGAACAATATCTTCATTTTCAATCTCTACCCCTGCAGCCATCTTGAATTGAGAAAATCAAGAAACATATATATGTGAGAGAGAAAAGTCAACCCAACAACAAGTTTAGCAAATTTGCAGCTGGATAGAAAGAGGCAGTATAACATTATCAACAAAAAAACAAGGAATAGATAAATGATGCATTTCATGTGTATAAATATCTTTATTCCTAGTGTCTTGTATAAACAGATTTATTTTTAATAACATGTACAAATTGAGATCTGCAGTACAGTGTGCAAGAGCACTGTTACAGTCACTAATACACCATCCTCAACACATCGGTCTGTGCAAAACAGGGGTAGCAGACTAGCTTGGAATACAAGCAACGTATTTTATAGGTTTTGGCAAGATATTTGTGGAAAAAGGCTATTTGGTCTTTTCATTCGAATTCTTCTTTTCTAACGCTCCAGGGTATTTTAACATAGTAATCAGTGCAATAATGACATGAGTCTCAAAACACTTTTCTCCTTATTTGATTGTTATCAACAAAACACAAGTAATATTTGTTCAATACAAGGGTCTGAATGTCCTGAAATTATTAAGTACTTCTAACCAGAAAATTAGACCCTAAATATTACATGGCCCTCAACATGCTCAAAGGAGAGGTACCCACTTACCGAGGAGTCATCTAAGGCTGGATTGACATGGATGGTTATTGTGAGGTCGTCATCTGTTTTCAGGTTTGGCACTATCACTGCAACACACAAGTGGTGATCATGTCGTGGCTGAAGTATACATACATGATACATCCTCTAAGAACCAGGGTACTGTGTATGCAGTAGTCAGCAATTTCACCAGGGTCGGGAATGATAGCTTCAGTAATTTAGTTGCTTGCCAGTGGGAGCAATGCCCCGAGTGATACAGGTCTTATGGCATGGGTATGGTGCTGACAGTCCATGAATCAAAGTCCAGGAGAAACATGGATTCTACTCACTACTAGCAGATGTTACTTCCCACAGGACAGAGGTGACAACTTCCCACAGGACAGAGGTGACTAACTTCCACAGAACAGAGGTGACTAACTCCCACAGAACAGAGGTGACTAACTCCCACAGGACAGAGGTGACTAACTCCCACAGGACAGAGGTGACTAACTCCCACAGAACAGAGGTGACAACTTCCCACAGAACAGAGGTGACTAACTCCCACAGAACAGAGGTGACAACTTCCCACAGGACAAAGGTGACAACTTCCCACAGGATAGAGGTGACTAACTCCCACAGGACAGAGGTGACTAACTCCCACAGAACAGAGGTGACAACTTCCCACAGGACAAAGGTGACAACTTCCCACAGGACAGAGGCAACTAACTCCCACAGGACAGAGGTGACTAACTCCCACAGAACAGAGGTGACAACTTCCCACAGGACAAAGGTGACAACTTCCCACAGGACAGAGGTGACTAACTCCCACAGAACAGAGGTGACAACTTCCCACAGAACAGAGGTGACAACTTCCCACAGGACAGAGGTGACAACTTCCCACAGAACAGAGGTGACAACTTCCCACAGAACAGAGGTGACAACTTCCCACAGAACAGAGGTGACAACTTCCCACAGGACAAAGGTGACAACTTCCCACAGGATAGAGGTGACTAACTCCCACAGGACAGAGGTGACTAACTCCCACAGAACAGAGGTGACAACTTCCCACAGGACACAGGTGACAACTTCCCACAGGACAGAGGCGACTAACTCCCACAGGACAGAGGTGACTAACTCCCACGGAACAGAGGTGACAACTTCCCACAGGACAGAGGAGACTAATTCCCACAGGACAGAGGAGACTAATTCCCACAGGACAGAGGTGACTAACTCCCACGGAACAGAGGAGACTAATTCCCACAGGACAGAGGTGACTAACTCCCACGGAACAGAGGTGACAACTTCCCACAGGACAGAGGAGACTAATTCCCACAGGACAGAGGAGACTAATTCCTACAGGACAGAGGCGACTAACTCCCACAGGACAGAGGTGACTAATTCCCACAGGACAGAGGAGACTAACTCCCACAGAACAGAGGAGACTAACTCCCACGGAACAGAGGTGACAACTTCCCACAGGACAGAGGAGACTAATTCCCACAGGACAGAGGTGACTAACTCCCACGGAACAGAGGTGACAACTTCCCACAGGACAGAGGAGACTAATTCCCACAGGACAGAGGTGACTAACTCCCACGGAACAGAGGTGACAACTTCCCACAGGACAGAGGAGACTAATTCCCACAGGACAGAGGGGACGAATTCCCACAGGACAGAGGGGACTATCTCCCACAGGACAGAGGCGACTAACTCCCACAGGACAGAGGGGACGAATTCCCACAGGACAGAGGGGACTATCTCCCACAGGACAGAGGGGACGAATTCCCACAGGACAGAGGGGACTATCTCCCACAGAACAGAGGGGACGAATTCCCACAGGACAGAGGCGACTAACTCCCACAGGACAGAGGGGACGAATTCCCACAGGACAGAGGGGACTATCTCCCACAGAACAGAGGGGACGAATTCCCACAAGACAGAGGGGACTATCTCCCACAGGACAGAGGGGACGAATTCCCACAGGACAGAGGCGACTAACTCCCACAGGACAGAGGTGACTAACTCCCACGGAACAGAGGTGACAACTTCCCACAGGACAGAGGAGACTAATTCCCACAGGACAGAGGTGACTAACTCCCACGGAACAGAGGTGACAACTTCCCACAGGACAGAGGAGACTAATTCCCACAGGACAGAGGAGACTAATTCCTACAGGACAGAGGGGACTATCTCCCACAGGACAGAGGGGACTATCTCCCACAGGACAGAGGCGACTAACTCCCACAGGACAGAGGGGACTATCTCCCACAGGACAGAGGGGACGAATTCCCACAGGACAGAGGGGACTATCTCCCACAGGACAGAGGCGACTAACTCCCACAGGACAGAGGGGACTATCTCCCACAGGACAGAGGGGACGAATTCCCACAGGACAGAGGGGACTATCTCCCACAGGACAGAGGGGACTATCTCCCACAGGACAGTTGACAATTTCTCATAGGACAAAGGTGACTTATTCTCACAGGACAAAGGTGACTAATTCTAACAGGACAGGGAGTACAAATTCTCACCAGATTTATGAGCATTATCTTTGATTTTCTTTTGCAATCTCCTCATCTCCCCATCCATGTCGGCATAGTTGAGTTCCCTCGCCTCAACCGTGGGAGGGACAAATATTGCAGGATCTGTCCCCAGGTAACCACATTCCAGCCGCCCAGAGTCACTGAGTGACACCACCACACCCTTCAGATCTCTGATGGGGAGAATAGAAACACACTTCAATCTACAATATAACCCTTAACAGTTATGCTCCTGGCTTTCACCTTCCAATCATATGCATATGCCATGCAATATTATAGTTAACTTAGCCATAAAAGTCACAGAGCTATTCAGTAAGTCAATGTTTTTTTACTGTCAGAAATCCCCCAGCTACACCTAGGCAACCTGTGATTTATCCAGTTTGGACCACGCAAACCAGTGGCTCACAAGATACACAAAGATCCACACTGTTCCCTGGTCATACCATGTAACCACCCTGCCTCATATGTCAGCACTTACAAGTCCACAGGGAGTCCATTCTAACAGTATAGGGTGGTCTATTCACTTTTTCATCTTGTGTACTACTTTGCAGGACCTCCCCAAACTATTTTGTGAATATTCTAGCAAAGATTATAAACTGACACATGTGCGATGCATGAACAGTATATTTGAAGCGTATACAAGATACTCAGTGCTATACTCAGTGCTGAACTATTTCAAACAATATAACAGTGTCATCCCAAAATAGGAACCCAACTTAACACTTAACATGCTTAACTAAGGCTTAATTCTGATTGGTTCAACTATAAGCAACAGGCATACCATTAAAAAATCATTGTTACATCAATGATGCAGTAAATAAGCTGCATATAATGTCGCAAGTATTTTGACCTCAATATATTGGTGTTTTATTTCCAAATTTCACAATCAAGTAATACAAATAATCAACACCAGCCATTATGGAGTATCTCTCCCCCCCTGCTCCCCAAGACACATACAACATTAATTCACTTGAAAGAGAAAATCCTTCATTTCTCATGCTTGAAATCATTAATACATGACACTTTCTTATGGATAACAACTTTTTAAATTCTTTTTAACATTTCAGAGCTACTTCTTGACCCTTCATCAGGTGAATACTGAGTAAGCATACAGAGTTGGAAATCAATGTCAAAATAAATCATGTTATCAATGCCATATTGTGTACTTAATGAAGAGCCCCTTATGAGATGAGACAAATCTTCTACCTAGCTACCGTGTGATACAATGATCACAACTTTCTGCTTACTTCATGTTTCCTGTGCATATGTGGACAGGTATGTGCTCCATCTTGGCGGCCCACTTGAGGGTGACATCTTGGTAGATCATGAGAGACGAGGTGTGTGTTGCCACCATGTAGTTGATGGTCCCCTCCGTTACTGAATCAAACACACAGAACACACCTCAAGTCAACTCTGTCTTTCTCTGAATTCTTCACTACATGAAATTTCAATATTTCTTGACCATAACCTAAAACTCCTGAATGTCTTAGTTCACCCTTGGGCAAGAAGAGCGGGATATTAAATGTATTTGTTCATAAATGCATCCAGTGTAAATACATCAAAACCTTGGGAATATTTCAGGTCTCACACCATCTTTTCTCTGACGTGTGATGATTACATGTTCAGACACATTGCCATCATCACACAGCATAGAACTGCAAGAGACAAATAACCCAAGGTAATAATCTCAATGTCAGGAGGACAAAAGTTCCAAACAATGTAAATGTTATAGCTAAGCTTATAATGTTGAGATGGTTTAGAAGGCATACATCGTCATTGTCCTCAATGAGTGAGTGAGTTGGGTTTAACGCTGCTTTTAACAGTATTCCAGTTATATCACGGTGTGTCAGCTTAATGTGGGAGGAATGCGTGCAGTGATGCAGTGATGCAGATTTTAGACGTTTACCACTTCGGTGAAACCCACGAGCATGGGTATGGAACTGACAAACCTAGAAACATAATTGGGGAGGAATTATAAACCAAAAATTATAGGTTTCTGGCATGCCCAAGGGACATTCTGCACAGTGAATTGCGGAGCCTTAGATGACTGGGTCATCCGTGCCCCCTTGTCCTCAATGATTATGTCTGACAAAGTCAACTGTTTACATACTTGATGTGTAAGGCACAAAGCAAGCTGGATCAAATTCAAACTTCTTCATATAGCGCAGCTTCCCGCTGTCTGTCAGACAGAACAAATTCCTTTCCCCTGAAATACACAAAACATGACAATGCATATATAAATTGCATAATATTATCAAGTGAATGAAATGAGGAGTCAAAGTTATCATCAAAATGTAAAGGCTAATGATGTCCTCAGGTAAAACAGGGTATTACAGGAATTCCCAAACCTCAAGTGAGTAAGTTGAGCTCAACACCGCCTTGAACAGTATTTCAGGTACATCAAAGCATGTCAGCATATTGTGGGAGGAAAGCCAGAACTGATACAAGTTTTGGTTTGGTTTGTTTCTTGTTTAACGCCACTCTCAGCAATATTCCAGCTATATGACGCTGGTCTGAAATAATCGAGTCTGAACCAGACAATCCAATGATTGACATCATGAGCATTGCATCCATGCAATTGGGATCAATGACAAACTGATAAAAGTCTTAGATGTTAACACTCTGGTGAAAGCCATGAGCAAGGTAATGGTGATAAAAGAATCACAATTGGGTTGAATCTGGGATCAAAAACCAATGCTTGTAGGATTCTAGAATGACTGAGGAATGCAAATCTACACAGCGAAAAGCACTGCCTTAGATGTCTGGGCCACCTATGCCCACAGCAATCATCATCACACACATACCTAGCACCATCACACATGGTGGAGCCTGCTGGAATGATATCACAGAGATGTCTATTGCCTGCTCTCCAATGTTGAAAGCCCAGTCCATCTGAAAGGCACAGAAATAAACATAAGCAACATGACAACACAGCCGTACACAAAATGAAAAACAGGCCATAACAACCCACCTGTACATTGCTCGACTCCCATTCTGCCATTATGTCCTTTAGCCCCGGCCCCTTGTTGCATGGAGTGGAAATTCAGTACCTATTTAAATTGACTTATATGTTATTTCAAAAGTGCATATTCATGCCACTGACACTGCAAAATGGGATTACAGTAACAGTAGAAAACTCTTGACTGGAAGTGTAAATGAAAACCACAGGAAACCTGTGTTACTTACAGCCCTTAGTCCCAGTGTGAGGAGTTGAGTGTTACTTACTGCCCTTAGTCCCAGTATGAGGAGTTGAGTGTTACTTACAGCCCTTAGTCCCAGTGTGAGATGAGTGTTACTTACTGCCCTTAGTCCCAGTGTGAGGAGGTGAGTGTTACTTACTGTCCTTAGTCCCAGTGTGATATGAGTGTTACTTACTGCCCTTAGTCCCAGTTTGAGGAGATGAGTGTTACTTACTGTCCTTAGTCCAAGTGTGATATGAGTGTTACTTACTGTCCTTTGTCCCAGTGTGAGGAGATGAGTGTTACTTACTGCCCTTAGTCCCAGTGTGACATGTGTTTTTTACAGCCCTAAGTCCCAGTGTGACATGTGTTATTTACAGCCCTAAGTCCCAGTGTGAGGAGATGAGTGTTACTTACTGTCCTTAGTCCCAGTGTGAGGAGATGAGTGACTTACTGCACTTAGTCCCAGTGTGACATGTGTTATTTACAGCCCTAAGTCCCAGTGTGACATGTGTTATTTACAGCCCTTAGTCCCAGTGTGAGGAGATGAGTGTTACTTACTGCCCTTAGTCCCAGTGTGATATGAGTGTTACTTACTGTCCTTAGTCCCAGTGTGAGGAGATGAGTGTTACTTACTGCCCTTAGTCCCAGTGTGACATGTGTTTTTTACAGCCCTAAGTCCCAGTGTGACATGTGTTATTTACAGCCCTAAGTCCCAGTGTGAGGAGATGAGTGTTACTTACTGTCCTTAGTCCCAGTGTGAGGAGATGAGTGTGACTTACTGCACTTAGTCCCAGTGTGACATGTGTTATTTACAGCCCTAAGTCCCAGTGTGACATGTGTTATTTACAGCCCTTAGTCCCAGTGTGAGGAGATGAGTGTTACTTACTGCCCTTAGTCCCAGTGTGATATGAGTGTTACTTACTGTCCTTAGTCCCAGTGTGAGGAGATGAGTGTTACTTACTGCCCTTAGTCCCAGTGTGATATGAGTGTTACTTACTGTCCTTAGTCCCAGTGTGAGGAGATGAGTGTTACTTACTGCCCTTAGTCCCAGTGTGACATGTGTTATTTACAGCCCTAAGTCCCAGTGTGACATGTGTTATTTACAGCCCTTAGTCCCAGTGTGAGGAGATGAGTGTTACTTACTGCCCTAAGTCCCAGTGTGAGGATATAGTGTTTCTTACTGCCCTTAGTCCCAGTGTGAGGAGATAAGTGTTACTTACAGCCCTTAGTCCAAGTGTGAGATGAGCGTGCTTACTGCCCTGAGTTCCAGTGTGAGGAGATGAGTGTTACTTACTGCCCTAAGTCCCAGTGTGACATGTGTCATTTACAGCCCTAAGTCCCAGTGTGACATGTGTTATTTACAGCCCTTAGTCCCAGTGTGAGGAGATGAGTGTTACTTACTGCACTTAGTCCCAGTGTGAGGAGATGAGTGTTACTTACTGCCCTTAGTCCCAGTGTGAGTAGATGAGTGTTACTTACTGCCCTTAGTCCCAGTGTGAGGAGATGAGTGCTACTTACTGCCCTTAGTCCCAGTGTGAGATGTTATATCTACAGCCCTTAGTCCCAGTGTGAGGAGATGAGTGCTACTTACTGCCCTTAGTCCCAGTATGAGATGTTATATCTACAGCCCTTAGTCCCAGTGTGAGGAGATGAGTGTTACTTACTGCCCTTAGTCCCAGTGTGACACGTGTTACTTACTGCCCTTAGTCCCAGTGTGACATGTGTTACTTACTGCCCTTAGTCCCAGTGTGACATGTGTTACTTACTGCCCTTAGTCCCAGTGAGGAGATGAGTGTTACTTACTGCCCTTAGTCCCAGTGTGACATGTGTTACTTACTGCCCTTAGTCCCAGTGTGAGGAGATGAGTGTTACTTACTGCCCTTAGTCCCAGTGTGACATGTGTTACTTACTGCCCTTAGTCCCAGTGTGACATGTGTTACTTACTGCCCTTAGTCCCAGTGTGACATGTGTTACTTACTGCCCTTAGTCCCAGTGTGACATGTGTTATTTACTGCCCTTATTCCCAGTGTGACATGTGTTACTTACTGCCCTTAGTCCCAGTGTGAGGAGATGAGTGTTACTTACTGCCCTTAGTCCCAGTGTGACATGTGTTACTTACTGCCCTTAGTCCCAGTGTGACATGTGTTACTTACTGCCCTTAGTCCCAGTGTGACGTGTTATTTACAGCCCTTAGTCCCAGTGTGAGGAGATGAGTGTTACTTACTGCGCTTAGTCCCAGTGTGACATGTGTTACCTACTGCCCTTAGTCCCAGTGTGAGGAGATCAGTGTTACCATGGTTACTTACAGCTACTTTCTTGCCAGACTTGAGGTTCTGAGACTCCTCCTTGTTGCTGGAGTCACTTGCTACAGCCAGCACCTGGTACCTGGGGGAACAGACTTCTTTATATAACAAGCATGACATACTCTCACACCCACAAGAACATTTTGATGATGTAAGTTTGAATTATGTACTTTTCCTTCAGTAGACAATAAAAGTAGGAACAAAGTATTGTACCACATCCTATAAATCCATTTTTGAACGGTTGTTTATTAAAGTTTTGTTTAATACACCATGATATACTCCATCAGCAAATTCTTTGAAAAATAGCTTAATGCTGAAGTCAAAGAGCTACAACCTCAACACATAAAGCCAAGTTTGCTAATTTATGTATACTTTACACCACTGGAAAGTGTCATTGCAAGATCAAAACAGATTTATTTTTATCCACACAAGGAGACCTGTAATTCTAGATTTTTCACAAATACAGAGGTGAACAAAATAAATGTTCAGGACACCCTTCTATTTTAAGTAATGTCCGCGCCTAATGGTGACTGAAGTGTTGAAGGCTAAATAGTCTCTACAGATGAGTTAATCCACCCTCCAAAAGGGACTCGGTCTGGGAAAGCAGAACAAACAATAAAACATTCAACACTAAGGTTAACATTTAAAGATATATACAGTCGTAAAACAGGAATCACATGTACATAATGTTTCTATCTGCGTTTGCTTTGCAGTGACAGTTGTGCTAAAATTATAGGGCTGAACTTGTGGAGATCTTGTACAACCGTGTCGCAAAGGTAGTGAGAGGTGAAAACTGTGTCTGACTTCCAAGAGGCACCCTTCCATGATGGAGGAGTGGGTGCAATTACTGTATAAGGCCATGGGGGAAGCAACCACTCGAATCTTGTGCAGGTTGGACGATGCAGGCAGAGGCAGCCTAGCAAAAGTATACGCTCTAATAATGATGGAGCTAGGCCAAAAAGAGAGTGTAGTACGAGAAATCTCCAAGAAAGAAGTGGTTGATAGCGGAATGAAAAGTCTCTTCCATGACTTTCTAAGATGACGAGAAGCAGACAAATAGAGACGAAGTGTTCGAAATTGGACAGAGGGAGAGATCTTCTTAGTCATTTGATCCCAAGATCGACAAGAATGGGCAAATTGTAAATAACTGATTGGGATGCCCCGGAAGTTGATTCTTTGCTATAAAATCCTAACGAAGGCCTAGGAACGCCCTTCCGCTTCCGAATTGTTCCAACTGGATCCTGGTGACATCCAGAGCATGTGTCTCACTAACGTGAGTGAGCTGCTGTAGCCATGGACAGTAGGAACACGGTCTTTATTGGCCAGTGGATAAAAAACATGGGAGGTCAAATGTTTGCAGGATGATGTTGAGGTCCCATGAAGGGGGGCTGAATCATGAGGATTGGTCTGCTAGCTAGTAGGAGCAGATGAGTGGATGAGCAATTGGAGTTCCGCAACAGTGGAAACCTTTGCACTCTGAGTAGTGGCAATAACAGAGTTAATCGCTCCTAAGCAGGGGGCCAGAGTGGAGCCCTTAAGCTTACGTTTCAATCACAGGTGGTGTAACTATTCAGTGATCCGTTGGGGTGAAGCCAAGGTTGGAGAGGAAATGTCACAAGCGACAAAATTTCTTGAAATGCTGTCCACTTATGGTCGTAAAGGTGTTGGAGTAGCCTTTAACAAAAAAAAGGACAGGAATGGTGATGTGCCTGAACCAGGACCAGTGATGAATGCTGATCCCTAGATGGAGGGGTTTGAGGCATGTTGCTGTAAGGTCAAACACTGGGAGCATGATGAAGCATGGATCGAGCGTAGACAGTAGTAGAATACCTTGGAGGGTACGCTGGTAGTATGGATCCCAATGGGAAGGATAACTATCCCACCTCTGCGAATGATCTGCATAGGCGCTGAACCATGGATAGTCCAAATAGTTGAAATTCCTACATTGATTTTGATAGTCTATCATAGGGGACTCATCCCGGAAATAGGAAGAACTTCCTGAGGGCGAGGGAGCCAAGAAGCGGTCAGCAGAAGTCGATCCCGACCTTGAATCACAAGGATAGTCCTCCAATCCTTGTCATTCTGGGGAGCATTGAACGTAGCAGCAATGTGATTGATCGCTCTCTGCAGATCATCCGATGGGAAAATGAGAATGGCAGCCCGATCCTAAATACCGATCTCGTGGGAGGGATCGCTGATCCCTATTGGTGGATGCTGATCGTCGATCCTGCGTATCCTTGTGAGTCGCGGCACAAACAACCAAACTGTCGTCCCTCACACGATCTTCTGCAGGAACGGAACGTGGTTGATTCAGATGCGGGATCTTGAACAAAGAAGCGTGTTCGGTCATCTGAATGGATCGAACGTCACCCTGCAGTGGAGACTGAGGGTTGGAAATGTTGTCGATAAAGAAACTGTCTGAGACAGTGTCGTCAGTAACCAATAAGATAGGCTCTTCTAAACATGCTGCCGATGCAGTTATAGATGTCTTAGATGACTTCTCAACAGAAACCTTTGCTTTAGATGATTTGCTTGAAACGTCATTATATTGCTCTTCGACATGTTCGATATGGACCTATTGTTGAATCATGTGTCACAGATTATTTCTTTTCAATAACATTGCGGGGAAATAGTTCATAATTTTTAATCTACTGATAAGTGATAGATTTAATAAATGAATGATACGACAAGAAGGTTCATGAAACTATATACTAATAATTTTAACGTGGCTATGGTGTGGACGGCACACCGGCCTGCGGTGATGAAAGAGTTGACGAGCGGAGTATTTTGAAGCTGGACCCTGTGTCACCAAGCAGTCTCAGTGTTATGGTTCAATTACCATGACTTCAGCTTAAACTGCAGGCCGTTAGGGCATGCTGAAATTTCAAACTATCAGCCCGGGAACAAATGTGTCAGGGCCAAAGTCTCTTTCACACACTGATCACACCTCTGCCATTATCCTGATGTTGGCCTGGACCTGACCATAACCTACAATTACAATCTTCACAGCACCACGGTAGTATTGTGGAACGAGGTCTGGCAGGCGACAGATCAAATCCAGACTCCTGTTATCATTGTAGTGTTTACACTAGTTTGTCAACTTTCATTCTGTGTCATAAAGTCTGATTTCGAAAACCAGAAAGTTAAAAATGAAATACAACTGAATTGAAACTTCTGATAAGAAATTTTCGTCTGCCCAACAGTGAAAAAATCATTGTATCATAACCATGATAACAAAAGTATATATCCAACTCACTTGTAGCTCTCCACCTGTCTCATGGAGGACACAGTGATGAAGCTGTCTGTGCGGGACATGTACTTGATGGGGCCTGGCAACAAGGCCCCCGGGAGGAAGCGGCTGAATGCAAAACTCTCCTGCTCGAAGACTGACACAGTTCCATCCATAGATTGCACACACAGAAAATCCCGTCCTGAAAGAGATCATGACAGTATGTTGAAAGACGTACTCTATACTCCACTACATCACAACCTATGAAGTACAAGTGAGACATGTCAATACAGCCTACTCACCATGGACTGCTAAATTGCCACAGGGAAGGTAGTAACCTAAAATGCTTCCACCATGGTGGTGGTGATATGAGTAACAACTAATACTAGTAATAGTAACAATAGTGTCAATTACATTTTGCCCTAAAGTGTAGATGAATGTACCACTCACCCTTTACTCCACCAAACGGCCCAAAACAGAAGTTGAAAGCCGTTCTCTGCAGGCTGTGTTCATACAGCAGCTGTATCTGGTAGTGGCTCCCGTGTCCCACACTGCCAGATATAGCTGTCAATGGAAATCATACAAAGCTCATTAGACTGAGCAGTGCTCGAGAGGGAATAATGTTTTCCTACAGTCAGTAATATTCCCGTCTATCATGACAGCCTGTGTATAATGAGGTCTGGAACAAGCTGACCAGTGCTTGGTAGCATCAGCAGTGATCAAACATCTCCCATCATTACCATCCCCTCACCATATTAGTTGCTTCAGAAACAACACTGAGTACCATTCTCACCCATGATGAATGGCTAAACATTGCAACACTGACCACTTGGTGTTGGCAGGGTTAAAAAGTAATTGTCTTAATCTTTCTTACCTGATACACCTAGCACTGAAATCTTTCTTGGATGGAGTATGGCTAATGTCAGATTTTCAGATCCACTGAAAAACAAAACAAATGCATTTGTTAAATCTTGTTTATTTCAGCTGTTAAAATATATTAAAGTCATGACAAATTGAGTCATGTCAATAAGGTGTTATTAAGGTTGTTAACTGATTTACTCAACTGTTGAAACAAATGTTTGTTTGTTTGTTGTTTAATGCCGCACTCAGCAGTATTCCAGCGACATGACGGCGTTCTAAAGATAATCAAGTCTGGACCAGACAACCCAGTGATTGACATCATGAGCATCGATCTACGCAAATCAGGATACGATGACATCCATTAACCAAATCAGTGAACCCGAACACGCTAGTCGCCTCTTATGACAAGCATAGTTGCCTTTCACGGCTAGCATGGGTTGCAGAAGACCTAGTCTACCCTGGATCTTCACTGCTTGTTGAAACAAATGAAACAAGCATGAAATATTCATATCCCCCGCCAATATGACATGTCCGGTTTTGTGTAAGGCAAGAAATATAATAGTTTCCAAAATCAGCACTACCACCAATTTCAGTATAAGTCAAAGTCGTTATTGAAAACTTTTTTTCAAAACTACAAATCAATCAAAAGGCACCAGTTCACTAGTCCTATCTATGTGCCAAGTTTGGTTAAGATATCTCTCATGGTTTTTTAGTTCTGCTCTGGAAACGTAATATCACGGACAGACAGACAGCACCCATTCCTATATCCCCCTTCCACTTTGTGATGGGGGATAATATTAAGGGAATGTATATTGCATGAGTTTAAAACGGCCATCAAAAATTGCAAAATCCATACTTTACATTAGGAAATCACTCACTGTTTCAAAATGGTTTCATTAAAGTGTTAATAACAGTATTCAACATGTTTAAGAAAACAAAATAACTTCCATATTGATGTGCTACTTTTCGCAACATGACACAATACAATGAGGTAAAGATTTAATGTCATGGTCCGCACTCACTGACGTAAGTTTTTATGAACTCAATAACAACCAATCGTAAATTTGGAATTAATTCACATGCACTTGCTGTGTTTATTATGTTTATGACAAGAGTCATCAGCATGATCAGAAGATTAAAAATCCCCTGGACCCCAGAAAAGCAAAAGGCACAAGTTCATCCCCTGGTTAATACATGTACCAAGTATGGATGAAAAGTCTTTCACGGTTTTCACGTTATGCTCCGGAAATGAAATACGAAAAGACGGATAGACAGAGTAGATGATGACAATATCCACATACACATACTATATACACATTTTTATACCCCCGCATTAAATGCAGGGGGGATAAAAATGTGTAGCTTTGACAATTAGACTCTTATTCTATGATTATTCTGCTACATCACTTCAAAGCAGCAAATAGCTGAGATGAAATAATCGGTTGAGTTCAATGATATACAACAGGTCTTGCAGTTAACACAAAAGCATACCAGCACATTTAAAACATTTCCTATACTCACGATGAGAACTTGCCCGCCTCCACCTGGAGTATTGGGTTGGGGAATGCATGTTCCAGCATAACATCCTCAGCCTTATACCCGCTAGATCCTGACTCACTTTTTGTCGGACTAGGATTGAAGATACGTAGAATGCCATTGTAACTGCCCAAAATGATCTTATCTGCAAATAAACAATCATTTATCAGCATCACTAATAAACAGTGATTTGAACAGTGCATGGTTTTACAAGTAACGCGGTGATTTTTACAGTCACCCTTTAGTTTTATTCTTGTAAATGAGTACCAATGTTTCAACAGTTTGGCTTCCAAAAACACTTTTTCAAAAAATTAGATCTACAGTTAAGAACTTAAGAGCATGATGAGAATGGGTTTAATGTCACATTAAATAGTATTTCAGTTACATCACAGCGTGTCAGTTTTATGTGAGAGGAAAACACCATTCATGCGCAATTTGTTCACAGTTGGGGGACTGGTAATTGTTTGAGTAGCCAGTCCACTGTGACTGACAGTTTCACCTGGTGGGAACACTGATGTCAAGTACTCTGAGGAGTTATCACTTTTGCATGTTTTGTGATAGTTCAAATATTATGCTGACAAGGCAGGGGTTACATACAGGGTCCTAAGGTACAAACAAGTTATATATCAGCAACTACAAAGGATCTCAGGACTCCCCTTAAATCCACCAATGCAACCTACTGACCTATGCCATCACTGCTGTTGTCAATATTAGCCACACACAGACATCCCTGGTCAAACTCTTCATCTTCTCCCACTGTTGTTGACCACCAATCACGGATCTTGAACAACGACATCACACCTCAATCTGAAAGTTCAAACCAAATTACAAACCAATCAATATTCCATCAAAATTTAGATGCTTTAGAATTTATTTGGTATAAACTTCCAGTAATAACATAAGATAAAGTATAGTTTCATTGCATTTGTTATTTTTATACTTATAGTTATACTATACTTTACTTAAGTTAAATGCTAACAAATATAATATTTCTCAACCAAGTGTTTGACAATGGTGCTGTACAGTCTGAAATTTGAGCCAGAAGTCTCCAAGTACAGTCTGGTCATATTTGGTTTGGTCCAAAAACCTGAGAAAAGAAAGTCCAAATAGTTCTGCTAAAATCTGCAGAAAAATGATGGCAAAAGACGATTTTAGGCTAGTAGACTAAGAAGTATTTGCCAGACTGCTTATATATACATCACACAATTCATAACATTGGAAACACACAAATATGATCGTCTTATCATATTTATTACTGAATATATCCTTCTTGAATAAATGTCCAAATAACTTAGTGCAGTCCTAAAAGTTTAAAATAAATTAAAACTTACCCTGACAAGATGAAAAACACAACCGAGCAAAAATTATAATTTGTATCAAGTACAATGACCTAAACAATGACATGAAATATCAAAGACAGTAAACTGTTGATTGGCTTGAGTAAACATGGTAAAGGCTGCCACGATTAAGCGACTCGACATGTACTCAATTAAAGATAAATCTGTAAAATAATAAATAGCAAATCCTTCAATCAGGGAAGAAGAGATGACTTTGAACACATCTGAGACAATCAATATTCACAAACAACAATTGGTGGTCACATAATGTTCTTTCATTCAGGATGGCTTTTGTTATCTGTTGTTCCTACTTCGAAATTTAATAAAAACATGTCGGAGCAATCTACAAGTGAATATGGCTTAACTGAGGCGTAACTGGATCAGATCATGAGATGTTGAGGTCACATTTCAATTAAGTCAGAAGCCTGACTCTTATTTTAGGTGTACATAATGTTACTTATACAAAATGTGCAATGCTTTCTGTAGCCTGCTGGCTAGGTCAGACAGTTAAAAAGTCGAGTCAGATGTGTCAAACTATTTCTCTAGTCTCCAGGATTTCAAGACAAAGGGGTTTGACTGTATCTTGTACCATGCCACATATCATATCACAAAGACTTAGACAATAAAAAATGATGTGTATCAGGAAGACATGTTATAATAATAATGACATATACTTATTCACTGCTGTGCGAACAGAGGCACATTTCGAACAAACCCACTGATGCAAGAAGACACCACATGTGCTAAAGTGTGGGGCAGGGCCGAAGGAAGTACTAGAAACTCTCAACAGTCAGGCTGCCGAACACGTTCACCCATCCAACTACTCTCCGGAACCAAAATTATTCAACTTCTCCTGATGTGAGACTTGTGCACTGTACACAGGACCATATTCTATATGGCACCATACATCAGAACAAGCATGGCATCATCACAAACCCACAGAGAAACATTCTGGCAACTAGCTACTCGAGTACTCTTAATCTGTACATGTATTTTCTTACAATGTCCTATTGCCCCTTACACTTTGCATATATAAATAACACCCGATTCACGACAGCCATGAATGTATCTGTCAACCTATTCAGAGAAGTCCTAGTTGTATTTATAACTTACTTACCATAAAGTCATAAAGGCAATTTCTGATGAATACTTATCATGTACATTTCCAGACGGGATCATTGGATAAAATTTGAATATAATGACAATCACAAAACAGTTTCAGTGCAATGTTTTGTTGGGAACTAGTATGACGGAAGTGTAATTTGCTTCAGTTACACCTGACTTTATGGTGCAGATTGCATCCACAGATAACATGTTGCATCGTTTTTACCCACATTCTGAATATTTTGGATATCAGTTGTCTTAATCCATAATATCAGATTAAAACATTATCTGACAGTGACAGACAGTTGAGAGTAATGACATAAACAAGATTGAAAGTGTTTCGAGCCACGACTGCATGTTTTTGTTATGACTAATAGAGCAGTGGGGTTATTCAAATATGCTTTCATTAGAACTACTCTGAATCATAGTCTAATGTTTTCATTTGCTGCGGCCTACTACCCGACCACTTGTTGGCTATTTTTTATAACACGTGCCCCCAAATACATCATTCGTTGTTACCTTTTTTCAACAAACAGGTTTCTTTACTCGTGGATTTGGTAATTTGCGGGATAGTACAGAAAATCCAGTCTGCATAAAGGCACATTAGGTAACTGTCACATGATAATATTATGTTTCCGCAAATGACAAATTGGTTTCCATCAAAACATTTCTGCTACCAGCTATGCGACGGAGTGCGCATGTATGGGCGGAAGTACACATCGCGAGAATTATACAAATTTGTTTCTTCGTACTGCCTATGCATAACACACGACATCATTGTCAATGGCTGGTGTATCTGTGGTAGAAAACTTGATTAAATACTTCCTCAGAACTTTAACGACATTATTTTTCTCTCTTTTGCGAGATCATAGAACTACTACTTGTTGTACAACTAAGCATTTAATGACAGGTGCGCGAAATACCTCAGTTGAACGTATGCGACCCTACTTCACTTTTCGAGTATTTGAATCTTGTTATATAAAACGGTAAGATATATTGTAATAAATGAAATATTGTTTAACATTAAGTGTAGATATTTTATAAATTATAACATATGAAAATGCCATCAGCTAGAAGTCACCGTGCCAACATAAATTGAAGCGAAAACGTCCTGCAGGGCAGGGCAGGGCATCAAAACTGTTTGACAGAATATTCATTCAATACAAAGATATACATGTCCACACATGTACACACACACATTCATATTTTGATAAACGTTTTCTCTAGCGATTAGTGACTTAATACACATACAATTCCCGGATCTTAACGTGTTGTTTTATAAGTAAAGGTGAAATGGGTTAACTTGTTTGATAGTCATTACTTATATAGACAAGATAGACACAATTTTATGGTAACAACTTCTTTAATACTGTAAAAAAAAGCGACGTTTCGGTATAGATCCTTATACCGTTGTCAAGCAAGACTGAATGAGGGACATAGTGCAGAATATATATAGCAAGTGGAGGATTAACAGTAGAGGATTAACAGTAACAACAAGGGCATACAATAAATGAAAATACAAAGTCATTAAGTCTAGATTCCGTTTAAGCCATTAAAATATATAATGTTGTATCTTTCTTGCTTTTAACCTATTTTGTGCGATGCTGTCTCAACTATGAATAATTTCTGACTCGTTTGATTGCAAGATTGTTTACACTTGTGACGTAAAGTATGTAAATATTTAGCAATAAACATTTTTTTATGTTCCTGTTGTTGACTTTCATATATAAGATTCTTGAAGTCTCACTTCTACCTCGATATCCAGCTGCAGAAATCATTCACTTGCAGTCGTTAAAAGCAATGCATGAGTGACAAAACGACGAAAACATTTATTGGTTTTGAGGTAAACATTACTGTAAAAAATAAAATTCCCGAATTCCCAGCTTCGGTGATTGTATGCAAGGGCAACCAGATTATCAATGCAAAACTACATGATTTCAAATTTCGCGCTTTGAACAGGTCATCATTTAACGGAATCTGTCATGTAGAATATAGTATCTGTACGAGATTACACGCACACACTCGGCCATATTTGTTTGGACTCAGGTGTTGAAAGCATCTGGTTACCGGTGTGTGGGTATTTACGTCTGCAGCCGATAATTGCAACGATGAAATCGTTGATACGAAGACAGTCAACGCACTTCTTGTGCATCCTATTAGCATGGGTACGTAAAAATTACAACTGATTGATTGCACGCGAGCAATCTGCTCCTGTCGTTCTGTCAACAAACTCACCGTGGTGTGACATTCTTTTCTAAGCAGTTCCTATTTTAATTACTGGTTATAATGTTGCGAATGCAAGTTTTATTTTTACTTAAGATAAAAGGTTTAGTTATCCTAATTGGATAACCTTGCTTACTTATCATAAGCATGCGTTGGTGGGTGTTGGCAAAAGATTATTCATTTCCTCTTTGACGTGATCCCAAATTAAATACTGAATGTTTGCACTTTGAAGTTCACGGTTCTATATCAAGTATGTTGAATATGTCGGTCATAATTATAATATAAGTAAACAACTGAGACTTTTTAGAAATTCAGCATGCCTATATTCCCTAATAATAATAGTGAGAAGAATATGATCAAGTTATCTATTGCCAAGATGTCTATAGTTTGGGAGCCAAAGGATCATTTATGTAGCAGGTATATCCTGTACGTAATATGTGTGCATGTGAAGATATGACTATATATTTATGTTCATATGTTTTAATGTCTTTTTGCATTTGTATCAACATCATTTGGCACAATTTGCCCTTCTCGTTCTATGTTTTCCAAAACACCTGTTGATACTGAACATGCTGAATGGAATATCAAACTTGAAAAATGTGCCACATACTTGTTAAAGAAAAGTAACTTTGAATTATTTTTATATCAGAGTTATCTGTAAGGATAGCACTTCAGTTTACCCAATAAGTTGTCTGATTACTGGTCTACATGGTCTACTTGTCTGACATTTTAGTGTCGCTTTCAGAAAAGTTTATTCTTACCATACTAGCCATATGGAAACTTATTACCTGAGAAAGGCTGTCTGAAAGACAGGTACTTGATTGTAAGATTGCAGCTGGTCCATCACTCCCAAATATGTCATTGTGCCCTGATCATGCTGATCAATGCTGATGTGATTCAGCTACAATTTACTGTTAGCTGACCCCAAAAAGGGCTGACTCCATCAGAACTGTGGTTATAACTAGTAATTCAGTTATTGTTTAGAAGAAATTCCCATGCTATTTGTTTATCTTCTTGGGACTTAAATTGGAGACATTAAGCATTAAAACTTTACATGTTAAATACAACAAAGCAAGATATTTGTTTCAAACATGTTTGCAATAGCTGGCATCTTCTTCAATATCAACAATAGGAGAATGATTACTGTATCAGAGAGATAAGTGTAATAAGATGTGTGGTCTCATCCATGACTAATATGCTGGAAGCAGCTATTTAAACAGTCATACTTGCCTTAAGGCTAGGTAGGGGGTACTTTCCTTGGATATGTAACACTGTATATGTTGTAATATGTTTATTGGGTTGGATGAGTTTTTGCTTTGTATGACCTTTTTTTTCACTCAATTTTATTACACTTTGTTATTATGTTCAATTAAAACCTAATAATCATATACATCGGAAAAACAGTTTTGTAATATTTCAACATCCATTTTATTAGGTTCTAATATATCATCCTATTTACGGTTTAAATAAATATTGTGGTTCCAATTATATTTCATAACAGGGGACTGGTGCTAATTGAACCTCGCCTCCCGTTTGTCCGTTGTCCATTACCTATTACCAATCAGTGATATTTTAAATCTCGGGTTCAAGTTGTCCATTGCTAATCACCGCCAAGTAGCTGCTGGCCTCCTTTGTTAAGTTTCCACCTTTGTTATCTTATTACTTTTGTTGTTCATACAAGAACATTTACATATATGTTCTCTGCTTCATAGCATTTATTCAGGGGCATGGGTGGCCCAGTCGTCTAAGATGCCACTATTCACTGTGCAGAGTTGCGTCCCTTGGGCACGCCAGAAACCTATGATTGTGGGTTCGAATCCCAGTTCTCCCAGATTATGTTTCTAGTATTGTCAGCACCATACCCATGCTCGTGTGTTTCACCAAAGTGGTGAATGTCTGAGACCTGCATCACTTCAGGCTTTCCTCCCATATCAAGCTGACATGCCATGATATAACTGGTATACTGTTAAAAGTTGCGTTAAACCCAACTCACTCACAGCATTTATTCACCTGTGATAAAGAAGTAAGTATATATACTCCGAAACGTTGTGTTCCTCATAATAAAGAAGTTGACATCCATAAGTTCTCTTATAAGGGTATGTTTTTATTTTGAACCGCAACTCTTTCTTTTTGGCCTCATGTTACAATAAACATATTTGTGTAATATAATGTACTTTGCTGTGTGGTTAACTTTCAGGGCATCAATGTTTTCTGTCAGAAATTGTAGGCAATCTGTTGCCTTCATAGTGCAATAGTGATGATATATTGATTTAGTATTACGATTATGAAGTTTGTATTTTCTGCTTCAGTGGTAGTATAGCTTTTTAAGTACAGTCCATCTCCGGGGCTAGCATTTCAGTAAATCTACTCTAACCCCTGGACCCATCCCCATTGCTACCACAGTCTCAAATTGGCCGCCCTTGATATTCATTAGCATCCTTTAGCCTGCTGAATTGTTTTCACTCTTCTTAGCCCTGCCTGCTGGATTAATTTTAGCATAAGGTGCTGTAAAGAGGCCGGGTGATTTCAAACAGTTGGTGCTTCATTATACAAGGGTCAATTGAAGAAATATTTTGCACATTTATTCTTGATAGCAAAATACACATTACTATGTAAAAATTTCCTGATGTTTTAATCATACCAAGGTTAAGACCAAAACGAACACAGAATTTGTAAATTTTCATGATCTTGCCTGAATTACGTTATTGAAGGTGGTTTACATTTCACGTTGGGAACCTTTTGTGCAAACTGATTTCAATAATCACATTTCCGATATGTTAATTTTAACTGAGTATGAATTCGATGTTTCTTATTGGTAAATAACAGCGCGATGGTAACTTATGAACCATTTCAGTAAATTTATTATCCAAACGTTAAACAGAAAAAACCCTAAATTTTCGAGGCCATCATGTCAGTTGCAAAAATACGAACATTCAAGTTAGTCTTACATGTCATGTTATAAAGTTTGCAGGAAACAATAAATAAACTCAAGTGTTTTGGTTGAATATTTACAATATACGAAAATACGAATACTGTGTCATCATGCAGCAGACGTTCGAACATCAAACATCGTGCGCTTTGCCGAACCTTGGCATAACTTATTGCTATTTTAATATCAACAAAGTTTACACTGTCTTCATATATATATGCCTTGGCAAAAGTTAAGGTTCTTCTCAATCGAAGAATGTTTCATTTGTCATTTTCCATTTAATATGAGAGTAGAACGAGCATAAAGATCATATATTCTGACAGCAATATTTCAGTTTGTGCAAAGGTCCCTGGATGTGATGTCACAGACAGGGGTAGTCTGCTGATAGTCACTTTTGAAATATTTTGCCTGTAACATGCAGAGTAAACACAAATCATTACATATTATCAGTAATCACCACTGATATGAAATTACAAAGTGACTTTCATGATATAATTGGCATAATTTTTAATCCGTTTGACCTTGCATGTTCCTGTGACCCGGAAACGGGAGAAGATGAATTAACACGCCACATGCAAGTTTCTCGGTATCATTTATTTGAACTTTTGTTGATATATAAGGATCACCATTCGATGTTACGTTGAATATAAAAGGATGTGATTCATGTATCTGCGATGTACATGCTGATGATTTTGTTTTCACCATAATAATTATGTGTGCGAAGCAATAAGTCTAGAAATCGTCGAACGTCAATGATTACCCTCCACAGCAGGTGCGCAAAAATAGGCGTGACAAAACATGTTTCAAAAGAGCATTCATGCGATGCCTAATATGATAGGATATACACAGGTGTGTGATGTATATATCAATAAAATCCTATATACATATTTTCAGTGTTAGTTTCAAATTAAATGTGGGATAGTTAAATTATTTTTCCTTTTATAATATATTTATCGATTCTAGCATGACTTTACAACAATTCACGGAGCATCTTAAAATCTATTCCATTCCACCATGATTGCGTATTGATGATAGATTTGTTAATGTTTACAGCTGTTCACAACTTCTAAAATATTAACATTGATTAACTTCATTAAGTTATATTTTTATATTTAGCAGCCATTTTTTGTCCCACAATGATTATGTGTATGTATACCTCATATTGGTCAATGCATCAGCAGTGTAACTGATCAGACTTTAATTAGTATCTTTAGATTAAACATATTTTATTCAACAATTGTCATCTTTCACCTGAACATCAATAATGTGAATAAGTAACAGTACTATTTGATGTCATTATTTAAGTTTATTATTCCATAAAAAAAAGAAGAAATAATTAAGATCCTTATGAACCTATACATACACAACTCATATGGACATTAATCTTGTGTATGAAGTTGTTTGTATCCAAAAGAAACCCTAATTCTTAAATATAATTTTTATATGAATACGATACATTAATTTCTTGTAACAGTACATGATATTTTTGTTTGTTTAATCATAAGAACCAGGGTGGCACTTAAGCTGGTGAGTTAGCCATATATTTATTAGGGAATGTTATCTTTTGAAAAAGGAGTAGGGCACATATATACGTACATTGACAATTCTTGCAGTTCTGTTCTGTTGGAGAAAGATACATGGAAATATCCTACCTTATGTATTTTTTCAGGGTTCTCACTAATGAAATAATGTACTAAAAATCAAAATAAATGCAGATCATCACCAGCTTTGGATCTGACATCCTTGATCATTTGACTGGTTTCTGAATATCCAGTCAGTATAGGTCCTTATGTTCTAAGTGTCTCAGCCTTCTGGGTGGAGTGAAAAGAAATGTCCCTGTATACATGATTGCCTTTGTCAGATGTATTTTATCCTGTCAGCCACACATCCTGACTTTATGTCACCTTATGTGGTTTATTTTCGCATGTATACATGTACTGCTGCAAACTTGTTTTTCCCTTGTATATGCAATCACAGTATCAAACTTCATCAGCTGGTGTGTCACAAGTTCCTCAGTTGGTGTGTAAAAAAGTGCCCTTGCCATCATGAAACAAGAATTGCTAAAAACAAAAGTATTTGCAATAAAAAAAACACACATTTGTCCTTCTTTGAATAATCTTAGGTTAAGTGCTTGAAATTTTCACTGTCATAAATTAGTATTTTTTAAATTTCGTAGGGATTTTTCTTTGATGGACCAACGTCAAACAATCTCATGGACAAGTTAGATAGAATCTAAACTTTAAAAGCCCTCATTTCTGAGGTGTCCATATTATTTAGATTTTTTTCTACTCTTAGGACGAAACATGAGCCGTCTACCTGAGCTTGGTTACGTAAAAAAACAAACTTGTTTTAAAATGTGAAATGGAATTCCACTGATTAGAAAACATTTTTTTATCCCATCGTTCCATGAAATCCTTTTGAAATGTGCTTTTTCTACGTAAAATGTCTTGAGAGTTTGTACCGAAACAGGTATGTGCTTTTGTATCCAGAATAATTTTGTATTACACTTTTGTAGTTTCAAACTTACACATTGCTTTTTGTATGAAAAGGTTAATTTATTATCACTTTCCTGTCAAAACACCACAATTAACTAACGGTTTACCAGTTTACTGGCCTCCTCTCCAGTGACCAGAATTTATTACATTCCTATCACAATCAATCAATTTGAGTAGTGCCAATGTGGACTGACTTCACTGAAGGACCAGGTACATTTAGGAGAGTCAGAACTTGATGAAATGTTTAATCATAATGTTCAGCTCATTGTTTGCAATAAACATGAAAAATAAATGATCATACAGATTTTAGTTTAGTTTTCTTGGGTATAAAATCACCAAGTACTTTGGTACAATTTTGTTTTGGGTACAAAATCACATAGGCCCTACATTCATCCAGTTGAAGTGTGTTACCTACTTTCCTCATACAGAAAATATCGGAGGAGGGGGAGTAAACATTTTAAAATCAATCCTTAATATTCCAAATTGTCCTTCTTCCAATGACAGACCAATAACAACATTCTGTTGTTATTATTATGGCATATCAATATGTTATATCGCTCTCCACTGCTGTCGTTTTCAGAAAATAATTTTCAAATCATCGAGCATGGAATCCTTTACGGATTTGGATTTAGACAATCAGCAATCACGAATAAATATGAAGCCAATAGGAGTTAAGACTGCTATCCAGATCAATAAATAGTAAACAGTTGTCGAAAAATAGTAAACTATGTATTTTCTTTTGTATTTGAATCTATTTCAGAATTTATTTTATGATAGCTTACCAACTTTTGCATATTTTGCTTCGATGTGTGATGCGGTACGTGCTTCCGTTTTCAGAATTGATAACTAAAATTGCAAGTGTTTCATTATTTTACGTCAACTGCATTATTTTGCTGTTGAATGGTTTACCTAGAATGTATATCAGTTTAGATTTTGCGCATCATCCAACTAAACAAATCACGAGTTAGGCCACGCCCAACATGCCCAAACGTATCACTGATGTTTGTCTGCTTGTCAATGTGTCCGAAAGATTATCAAACGAAATCATTTGCAAACTCTATAAAAATGAGTTATATTTTTACACAGATTTATACATGCGTGTCAATAATTCTAGAAAATTTAATTAGATGTAACAAAATTATTGTAATAGTATTACCATTGCCATGATCGTACAAGTTCCATCCCATCGATGATGTTACAATTCAGATTGTTTTGTTTATAATTAATTACATCAAAATTTGCTAATTTTTAGAAATTAAGGAACTTGAGTGTTTATTTTTCGTCAGCAAACAAAAAATCATGTTCGAATTTGAAAAATGAGATAACATTATACAGAAAATATCGGACTGCATGCCGCTCAATGTGAAGTGCCAAAAGTCAACAATGGATGTTTCTGGTACTTGTGTGCCGAGAAGTTTTGCTGAAACTTTTTAAACTCACAATATTTTCTTTTTGCGGTAAATACACTACTGAAAGTTTTGATATTGAGCAAGCTCAGCATTTATGCAAAGCCTTCTTGGTAAATAGATATGGCGAGTTTTGTTTGTGGGTGTCCTTATGCAATTCGCCTGTTGAACAGGTTCTACAGTAGCAACACGGCTAGTGACACTCTGTCGAACTAGTTCAAGAGCTTTAACTGAACAATCAAACATTGAGGAAAGGGTAAGGGAGTTAACTTGTATCATGTTGTATTACCTAGAAAACGAAGCCACTGCTAGTTTTGCAGGGCATGAAGACATTTTTTCCATCAAAAGAATTTTGAGGGCTTTCATCATGTTCATTTGCGTGTCGGTTGCTTTTTCAATGGTGAATTTTCTCGCAAACTTGATTGTAATCAATGAGACTGTAAAACCCAACATTGAGGCTGGTTTGTAACTCGCATTCTGATTGGTACGTTAAACCTAGTAGCATAGCCAATCAAATTGGCAAATGGAAATCAAGGATGGGTAATTTGAGATTGCGAGAACCACAGGGATGTGTCCAGGTTTACTGAAATGCTAAAAATGGATCATGATGGTGCATAATGTGTCACTGCTAGTACTTACAAGACACTCCTACATATTCATGACCATACACAAAAACATGTCAGGTTTTCTTTTAGAGATGAAATGGGCTCCAAATCATGAAAAGCATTGCTAAGGATAGGTATATTTATTATCAGTGATCTAGCACACTTTATTTGGTCCAAATTTCAGCAGTCAATTTGTTCATTGGCCCACATTTGGACAATTTTAGAATGAACACTGGTCCTTTTTGTTGATATATAGATAAGGCAGGCAAACGCAAAACTCTGGACAACAAAACAAATCCTGCTGATAATTTGTAAGATTTATTTGTGAACATTAAAATCAAATGTTTATGGTCATGATGGTATTTATTTTTGTTCAGTACAAGAGATTGGATATAATAATAAATTCCATCTAACCCTTGGGGTGGGGGAGGTATGGCCAGATGGCCATCACTCTCTGTCGTAATGTCAGGAAGTGCCCACAAATTGTGAGTAGACAAGCAGCTTAGCCTCAAGGAAGTTATGTTAAGTATACATATTGAACTGTCTGTTTGGGCTTAATTAGTGCCCTTGGCATTAATTAACCTAGTCACTAGCCAAATGGTGGCACTTGAATTGTTGAATGAATAATGAATAATGTATTCTAGACCAGTTTTCATTCTCAATTAATTTATGCTAACGTTATACTTATGACATCCACCAATATCATTTATCAATACAACAAAAGTTATTCTTAATTATTTTACTGTATCAGACTACTAATGAGTGGCATGTCACTTTTAAGATTCAAACTTCGAATTTCTTTCACTTGTCCGAAGAAATCATCTTCCATATCTGTACGATTTCGTGAAAGAAAATGTCACTTGTCTTCCCAAATATATTACCATTGGACATGCAGACTTGTTCGAATTTTGTAACATCCAGAGATGTTTTTAATAATTAAACACTGGATATTTACATATTGTATTCTGACCAGTGATGATAAGGTATTCCCAGGGATTTAGCCGGGTCTATATATTTCTGTTTGTGAGGGCTTTCAGTAATTATGGTAATAATAGCACAAACTGGGGTCCCATGGTTACCATGGTTACCAATCATTTAACAACTTCTAATATATCAGTATTTGTGAAGCCTTATGCTAATTATTGTTGAAGTTATCCTTGTTTGAATTACGTTTGTCATTAAGAAGTATTAACAACATCACATGGCTGTGATAACAGCATTGTCAGCTGGTTATAAAGTTGTGCAGGCTGTGATGATGAGGTTGGAGAGTTGATGGTCAGTTATTAGCACCTATACTATGGTCTTCTGATACTCAGCTGGTTGTCAGTTATGAATGATAATTGACTACCAACAACCATGACTGCTGTGACATACTGTCATAAATCTATGCTTGTAATTCAAGTACAAATATATTAACAACTTGAATATGAGAATATGAAATTTCAGTCAATGTTATGCTATTAAGAAGAATGTTCCTTAAGATGTTGACAGGGTACCAAAATGTCTTCCTAGCATATTTTTCAGCTATGATTATGATACGGAGTCTTAAAATATCTTATAAAGTTGATAACATTATGAAACTGCCCTAATGCCATGTGTCTCTTGCAAAATATCTGCAAACATTTCTATTTTTTCAGAGGTCTTTTGGCATTGTATTTATGACTAGTTTTCATTGACATGTTAAGTTTATTTTGTTTGTATGAGTACAGTTTCAATTTCAATGTTTTTCATGTATAATTTAAACCTTTTTCTCTTTAATGGCCGTCTTAGCTGTGAACTCATCATGTGAGAATTTTGTATTTTTTCAATTCCAATTTATGAAATTTGACCGACGTTTGCCATCGATTTGGGGACAAGTTCCAACCTTTGGGCATGTAGTTATGTTGGCTTGTGTATTTTCCAGCTGGTGAGTGTTGTCAAGACAGAGGTCCAGCCCCTCAACGACGGCAATGTCAATAGTATTTTAGGTGAGTAACCAAGGTAACATCATGTCAAGTGGCAACTTTCCTCAGCGATGTTCTGAAGTTGAGTTGCACTTAGCATGCGTCACTCTGTATTTATGTCACACATGCCAGCAATAAAAACTAACAGTTTTGGTCCACTAGTCCTTATAACAATGTTATAATGATAACATAAAGCAAAACCCTTGAAAAGGGCAAATTTCTTCTAGTCCTTGAGATACCTTAACTATTGGGCAGTTAGGCAAGGACTGTAGGACTAATGCCAATTTCTAACGCTGCTTGTTGCTCAATTGTCAGTAAGACCTAATTAATCGTTCATAACAGCAGATATCATTAATATGATCTAACATTGTAATTAGCGTAGATGATGGTCTCTGCAAAAAAACAGTTGGTTCTTTCAAAACTAGGAACACATTTTTTATTTTCTTCTCTTTTCTTTGGTTCACAAATCTTCCTTTGAAAAAGTCCTTGGTTGGTAGTTGGCATGGTTGTAATGTTTAAGTAAAATGTTAAGAATGTTTATGTCTATGTGATCTGTCAGGAAAGAACATTATGGTAAGTTATATAATGATAAGTAAAAAATGACTTCTCAAAAATTAAGAGTTGTTCAACATTTGCAACTTTTTGGATCAGTGGGATAAATACACAATGTGACTAATAAACCCGGCCTCAATTGAGATGCAAGAAGTAGGGTTTACTATCATAGTCCAGCAACGGTGTATCATTATTGAAGTAATAATATTCGGTTCCTGTTCTAGTTGTTATGGAAAACACCATTTCCATCTGTTTATTGTGATATCAGTGGTATAAACCCTCAGTATATATATCTATCTTTTTCAGGTACACATGAAATAGTGTTCGTGAATTTCTATGCTGACTGGTAAGTATTAGGAAGTAGTTACTGAATATTCTAGAAAGTCATTTCGAAATCATGCGGGTAAAATATTATGTTTCAGGTTGTAAAGTCTAAACACAGGATATGAAACATGAGTCAACTGTAGTTTATTTGCTCAATATGGAACTGCCAACTGATTAACTGTAAAATAATCTTATGGTTTTTGAGTACAGCTTGCAAGATATGCTGTTAGCTGGGTGCTGCATGTTGAATTAAGACTTTCACCATGTTTACAATTCAAGTAAATATGAATATAGCAGTAACTATTGTTATGGCTTTCTAGAGATGCTGTGTGTTACATTGATAACATGACCAAAAATAGAGAAAGAGTCTTTAACAAATAACAATGCTTACTTTTACAGTGTTAAATATTAGCAATGTTAAAATACAGTTGAAATACACCTGAATATTTTTTTAGGAAAATAAGAACAAGTTATTGATTTTCTCCAAGTTATGCCTGCCAAAGGCACTTTGTTAGAATCCTAGATTAATCTGTGTACAAACTCTCTCTCCTTCATATATTTATGAACAAACTGATGCTTACTCTTCAATGATAATGGTTATCCTTATTTTTAGCATTTGTTTAGGTGTGTTGCATATGCCAGCAAAATGAAGTTAATAAAATGACATTTTGGAATCCAATTTGCTGTCTCCATTATGAAAATATGAGAGATATTTAAGAAGATACTGGCTCATTTGTCTGAATCCCATATTGTCTCGGGGACTGACATTGTATCCGGCTGATCAAGCTGTAGATGAATTCATTGTGAGATATTGAAGCAACAGGTGTTGACAACAACAGGTGTCTGGATTGAAATGAAGCTTTGAATTGACGCTGAAAATCCTGTTGATAATACATGTATGCAGCTCATTTGACTGGAGACAGAATGATGCGTTATCGGCTGTTTAGCTTTCATCATGTTCTAGGACTTCCAGTGTGTAGACGGGGCAGTCGGGTAGCCTAGTGGTTAAAGCGTTCGCTCGTCACGCCGAAGACCCGGGTTTGATTCCCGACATGGGTACAATGTGTGAAGCCCATTTCTGGTGTCCCCCGCCGTGATATTGCTGGAATATTGCTAAAAGCGGCGTAAAATCAAACTCACTCACTCACTCCAGTGTGTAGACAGGGAAAAGGGTGTGCATGTGTGATATGATAAGTTTATTGGACTATTCCATTTCATTTCTTTTTTTTATTTAAAAACAAATAAAAATATTGTATATATATATATTTTATTTCATTTTATTAATTTTTTTGTATGTAACTGTGCGTGTATGTAACAGCTTACATACCTGTATTTCGTACCTGATTGAATTCAGGCATTGCATATACGTGAACTTGTTGGTGCAAAAGTTTCTGCTGTTCCATTTGACATTGAAACTGTCATTGACAGCTATGAGTGAAAAATGATGTATCTATATATTGGGTCATTTCAACATTAAAAAAAACGCAAACCATGCAGATGTAACAGTCTGTGTCGAGTGAAAGCTGTGAATTTTTGCAATTGAACACAGGTGTAAAACTACTAACATTTACGGGATACAGCTCGGGATCAATATCTGGTGACTAGCTGAAATCGAGTGGCTGGATATTATATGCTTGTAAACAGCTGGTAATCTGACACACTCGCTTGGCTCCAGCTATGACTACCCTGTGTGAAAGACATTAATGTGATGATTTGTTTGGTTACAAGAATACTTTCTAATATAGTTTCTTATTAAATTCAGTAATATAAGTGTGGAGAATGGCTTGGAATTGATGAAGACTACAGTCTATAATCATTGATCACTGACTGTCACCTTTTGAAGACTTCTGGATGTAGTAATTTAAGAAATATCAACAGTATGTCCTGCAAATTTGATATGCCATCTATTCTTATCTGTTAAATTTGTAGAATAGTCTATGCCTTGTAGATGAACCAAAGTATTTGAATCAAGCTACCCTAAATCTTTCACGTGGCAAGGATCCCTAGACTGGTTTGTCTGCACCAAACACTAACCCTTGAGGTTCATCAACATACTCAGTGGTAGACATACTAAATGTCTAACTTAACTCTAAGACCTGCATCACCGAGGGCTTCACTACTGCATGAAGTTGCACATGTATACATTCTGACAATATGCTTTGGTGGTTGAAACACCCAAATATCAGCCAAAGATCATCTACATATGTGACATCAGTTTTTGAAATTCCTGGAGCGCTAGCTGAACAATTGCAATCATTATGACACGGTGTAAAAGAACGTTGCCTGAATGGCCCACTTGAAATGAGTATTTTTGTAAACTAATTTATTTATTTAGGATGTCTATGTCCCAAGCATTTTTATGTCAGGGCCTCATGGATATACAGTCAAACACTGTTGTGTCGAACTTGAAGGGACGTATGTAAATTCTTCACGTTTAACTGTCGTTATCTAATGAGGAATTCACTGGAATATTATTTCAAAACATAGAAAATACATGGATAAATAAATCTCACTATTTATAAAATTTGTGTAATCTTAGGAACACAAATGGCTAGAGCAGGAAAAGAAAATGTAAGACATTGAGGGATTTTCTTGTCCTTCGTTTCTTTTTGATCAAGAAATCCCGAAACTTCAAAGTAACTTGCTGTACTGATTTACTGGGGTAAGCGTGATTACATGAATGTAGATGATGGAAGGATATGCACCAGCTTGGTCAGACGATTAGAGAATCAATAATGTCCTCTTTGTCCTGAATAATGTACTATTTTAAAATCAATTTGTTATGTTGATACCTTATAGATTGGAGTTCAGGCAAGAATTAATGAATTTGTATTGAGTAATAATGACATTGAGTAATATTGTACATTTGCAGGTGCCGATTCAGTCAGATGTTGACACCTGTGTTTGAAGAAGCATCCAACAAAGTGAGGGAAGCATTCCCTGTAAGTAGACCTTCTAAGTCTGCGTAACATATCAGCCCTCACATAGCAACTAAACACTAATTTTAACATTGGCGGCCTTATTTTAATTTAGCTCCCCAATTATGGTCATATTTACTGTAGAATTAACTGATGCGCAGCTGGAAGTTATTTGCAAGACATGCTTGAGGAACCAATGTTTTCCACAGCACTCTGGCATGTAAACACTGCAATTTCACAAACTCTGTTTGTCATAAATGCTTTTCAAATACAAGTCGTAATATTGCAAGCACATTTTTCATCTAAAGTCTAGTTTCATATGATGTGCATCCAAAGAAAAGCATTTGTTTAGTAAGTTCCGTACATACTGCATAGAATGTCACTACTTGAGTTGTTTTTATATAGTGGTGGGGCAGTGGGATAGCCCAGTGGTTAAAGTGTCATGCCCAAGACCCGGGTTTGATTACTCACATGGGTACATCTCTGGTGTCCCCCGCCATGATATTGCTAAAATAAAAGTGGCATAAAACAATACCCACTCACACCATCAATCTTACCTCCAAGTCAAGACCCGTGAAGATCCGGAGTAGAATAGGTATTCAGCATCCCATGCTTGCCATAAAAGCCGACTATGCTCTTTGTAAGAGGCGACTAACGGGATCGGGTGGTCAGGCTCGCTGACTTGGTTGATGCATGTCATCGTATCCCAATTGTGTGGATCGATACTCATGATGTCAATCATTGGATTCTCTGGTCCAGATTTAATTACTTACAGACCGCCGTCATATTGCTGGAATATTGCTGAGTGTGACGTTAAACAAACATACAAACAAACCTTCAAGTCACATTGTTGAGATCTGATTGGTCCAGGTGATTTTGATAAAATAATACAGGGAGGGAAATATGTTTCTGTGTGGGAAAATCGGTCCCTTATACCCTGCCGCTAATAAAACAGGCTGCATGTGGATTTCTGAGCAGGATAGATCTCTTGCACCCTGCCATAAAGTGAAAAGCCTCACATTATTCATGAAACAGGTTAACCTCTGCTCAAGCAAACAACTGATTTCTATCAATTTTCAATTTGTATTAATTCTTTAACATTGGCCATGATGGCAGATTAAAAGTTGTTGACTAGATAAATTCATGTTACACAATGTGTGCACACTGTTTTAAAAAAAAGAAGTTTTTACCTCTGTAATACCAAATAATATTGAAGTAAATTCTTATAATAAATTTGTCAGCAATAATAACTTTACACACTGCTTATTTAATAAACAATATGAAAACAGTAGACAATAAAACAGTGTCATTGAATAATTGATGTACAGAAATATCAACATTTCTAGCTGAAATCTATGATCCACATGTACAGATGTATACACTATTTATTAACTGAGCTGTGTGCACTGAGATATCAACAAGTGTGAAATCGACTTACCCCGGGGTAACTGAAGTTTGGCATGGAATATATTATGTATATGTTCATTATTCTGAATTAAGGATGAAAGTTTAGCAATCTTTGTTACAACTTTAAAAACTAATGATAAACTGAAAAATTATTTGCGGGTTATAGCAAGAGATCTCTTGAACACTGGAAATAAATTGATGGATTGCTCTTACACTCAATGTTACAAACATTTCTAAGAGATTTTCATGATCACTTTGAAAGGATAGAGTGTTTCTGATCTAATTCTCTAAGTCCTTCCTGCTTGTATCAAGTTATTATAATAACACCTACTTCCTTGTTAGGTTAGCACATATGTCATGACAGATGGCCAGAGCTCCAGATAACTTTTTGAGCAATTGAGTTTTTACATCTTAATTGGGTAACCAATATTTTTCACTGATCTAATCATCACTGTATTAGGTTTTTCATGACATTTTAAGATTTGAAAAAAAATGAAATATTGTTTTAGATGTATATAACTGTTCTAAATAAATAGGCTTGACTTGAAAAGTAAATCAGCTCGTAATTGTGTTTCGGAAATTAGCTCTTTTGTACGCATGCTGGAAAAGCTTCATTGGGTATTTATGCATGCTGTTTTGATACATTTAAGTTTTTCATATAATGCATGCATTTCTGTACGCAAGTTAATTGAAAGTAATTGGGTTTGAATATATATTTTTTTTTTTGGAGGGGGTGGGGGTATTTTACGCAAATACGCAGCCTATCTGTAGCTCTGGATGGCATTGCACCTTTGATAAGTTTACATAATTTCATAGTTTTGACTTGATGAATAGTGTGGGATTTAAAGTTTGACATTTCCAGTTGTCCAAAAAGGAACCTTATCCTGCCTTGGTTTTTTTGTTTCTTCTTGTTTTCAGTGATAAACCTAGGGTTTTAATAGGTTGGCCCTAGGGCACATTGAAAATTGTGGGCCTTTTCATGAATATTGTGGGGCATGTTGTAGATGTGACAGCTGTTAAAAAAAAAATGAAAAAAAATGAAGTGTGCAAGACTACATAAAAATGCTGTAAAATGTATCAAATATCATGTTTAGAAATTAAGACTACATCTGTGCATCCGTCAGCGTGGGTTACTTCAGTAAAAGTTCAAAGTTATATCAGTACATTAGACATGTAAGAAAGACTATTACTCGATCAGAAAAAAATTACAAACCGAACTTTGTGATCCAGAAGTTAACTTAAAACTCGGAATAAGTTTTAAATTGAAAGTGATTGTGTAAAACGAGTAAGACGTATGTAATTTGACCTAGGGCCCACGATATCCAGGTTTGATGCGTTAATTTTGATACAATAATGCATCAATGTCGCAAAAATGCAGCCTGGATCTAACCCTGTTCTTTCATAAATCACAGACCTGTGAAGATCCGGGGTAGAATAGATCTTCAGCAACCCATGCTTGCCGTAAAAGGCTACTATGCTTGTCGTAAAAGGCGACTAACGGGATCGGGTGGTCAGGCTCACTGACTTGGTTGATGCATGTCATCGATCCCAATTGCGTGGATCGATGCTCATGATATCAATCACTGGATTGTCTGGTCTAGACTTGATTATTTACAGACCGCCGTCATATAGCTGGAATATTGCTGAGTGCGGCGTTAAACAACAAACCAACCAACCAACCAAATCATAAATCACAGTGTTCCTATGAGGAGTGTTGTCTCCTTGTGAACCAGATGTAACCCTTGAAATGAACAGAATCCCAAATTTGTATGGAATTTTCATTTTCAGATGCCTGGCAGAGTTGTTTTTGGAAAAGTAGACTGTGATCGAGAAAGTGAGTGCAGCATTTGTTGTTACTAAACAAGTTCAATGGATGCCCTGTGTGGACAGAATAGGTCTCCATTTGTACCTGTTTGTATTAAGGGTCTCATAAAAGTCAGGGGTTACAATGTGTGACATGGCTAATAGGTGTACCCATGTTTAATTTAGTTGAAACGAACCATGCCGAGGATGTGATTAAGTGGTTACTGGCTGAACTATAGACCTTGCTAGTCATCAACTATCATTTTGGCACCTGTATTTTCACAATTATTTTCCATTTCCAAACTTTCATTTCATGATAGTATGTGTATTCTTAATGGAAAATAATTGTGAAAAACCAGGTGCCAAAACAATTGTTGACGGACTATAGTGTTGAATTAGTACATGTGGGGCTGTCACATTTTGATGATGCATTACAAGTACACACCTGACGATACAGTACACGATGTGCCTACCCATGTATTGATTCATATTTTACTTAGGCTTGCATTTTGCACACAACAAAATGTTAAATCTGATTGCCTACAACTCTCAGAACCAACCTAAGTTAGGCATTCATGCAGCATTCTTGTCAGCTGGGCCACATGGAACATGGAGAACATCACACATGAAACTTGGAGAACTTTACACATGGGACATGGAGAATCTCACAAAAAGGATGTGGACCGCCTCCGTGGTCTTGTGGTAGAGCGTCCGCCCGGAGAGCGGAAGGTCCAGGGTTCGATCCCGGGCCGCGTCATACAAAAAGACGTTAAAAGATTGTACTTGTTGTTACCCTGTCTGGCGCTCGGCATTAAGGGGCTAAAACAAGGACTGGTCGGCTCGGAGTCAGTATACTGTGTCTGAGTGAGGTATTCATGTTAAACTGCGGCATGGTATCTCAGTGAGCTAGCACTATAAATCGGCATCAGTCCGGACTGGTACAAGCAGCCACACACACACATACACGTGCATGCACGTCGCTATATAAGTGCAATAATCTTGGACGCGACGTTAAACCCAATTTCACCTCACCTCACAAAAAGGATGTACAAATTGCGAAATGTGATAAATATCATAGTATGACTGACTCAAGTACGATGATATGTGTTGGTACATGATATAAGCACAATGTGTTGTTTCTATGCACATGCTTCGAAAAGTGTTTGATCCTGTTCAAATAATCAGACTTTTTCTATCTGTATTATTATTATGGTTTTCGTTGTTTTTCAGCATATATAATGTTTTGTTTTGTGTTTGTTTTCAGCCACTATTGCTCAAACATATAGAATCAACAAATATCCCACTTTAAAACTTTTCCGGAATGGTGAAGTTGTGAAGAAAGAATATAGGGGTCAGAGGTCAGCCGACTCCCTAGCTCAGTTCATCAAGGATCAGTTGACCGACCCTGCGGAGGAGCACACAGATGCAGAGTCCTTGGAGGAACTAAATGTGAGTACACCTCAGCATTGGAGGAGCTAACTGTAGTGATGTCATTGTATGTCAATCTGGTAAATTATAAAAGGGGCTGATCCAGTTTAAGTATTAATCTACACCAACAACAAACTTGAAAGTATTTACATAATTTGGCGAATGTTTTGTGTAGAGTGTACCACAATGTTATTTCTTTGTTGTCTTATCAAAAGCATTCCCAGTATCCTTTAGCGAAAATGTAAATGTATAAATGTGTTTCTAATACACATGGAGAATCAGTCATTTTTATGTAACATTTTGTGCAATTGGAAAATTTGTGAAATATGCATTTTATTTGCCTAGTTGTTTGATTCAGGAATTTATTATAATCAGTATATTGATATATCGTCATACTTTTGAATAAATAAATAGTAATTTCTCCATCAGTGACATCTCCATCTAAATGTAAGTATACCAGTGTCATAATGACGTGAATGCTCTGTTTCAGAACAAAAAGAGGCATGTTGTGGGATATTTCCAAGCTAAGAACTCTGATACATACAAGACATTTGCCAGAGTTGCAAGTTCCTTCAGAGATGATTGCAAATTTCATGCTCTGTTTGGGTAAGTCAATGAAGAAATAGGTGTTAGAATATTTATAGGCCTTTATGTTATGTTTGGTTGAACTTTCATTGAGTAAAGATAATACAGATGTGGCATCACAATGGGTGCATATTGTTAGTTATGTTTGTGTGAAGACATTCTTAACCCCAAAGTCTGGTGAAGGGTAAGGTTCCTTACTCTGAAGGGTGGAGCTCTGTGGTCTGAAGGGTGAGGCTCCGTGGCCTGGTGAAGTGTGGGTCTCCATGCTCTTGTGTAGGGTGGGGCTCCATGGTCTGGTCAAAAGGTTGGGCTCCATGGTCTTGTGAAGAGCTGGGCTCCATGGCCTGGTGAAGGGCTGGGCTCCATGGTCTAGTGAAGGGCTGGGCTCCATGGCCTGGTGAAGGGTGGGGCTCCATGGCCTGGTAAAGGGTGAGGCTCCATGGCCTGATGTAGATGGGGTTCCATGGCCTGGTGAAGGGTGGGGCTCCATGGCCTGGTGAAGGGTGGGGCTCCATGGCCTGATGTAGGTGGGGTTCCATGGCCTGGTGAAGGGCTGGGCTCCATGGCCTGGTGAAGGGTGGGGCTCCATGTCTGGTGAAGGGCTGGGCTCCATGGCCTGGTGAAGGGTGGGGCTCCATGGCCTGGTGAAAGGCGGGGCTCTATGGCCTGGTGAAGGGAGGGGTTCCATGGCCTGGTGAAGGCTGGGCTCCATGGCCTGGTGAAGGGTGGGGCTCCATGGCCTGGTGAAAGGCGGGGCTCCATGGCCTGGTGAAGGGAGGGGTTCCATGGCCTGGTGAAGGGCTGGGCTCCATGGCCTGGTGAAGGGCTGGGCTCCATGGCCTGCATATTTCCACTCTTGTGGCTCTTCAGGCATTATTAGTTCCCTGTGACACACTATTTAGGGAAAATATGTATCACTCTGTTGATCATTAAACTTGAGTGAGCAGACAAGTAAGACATGGTTCATGTGATTGTTGCAGAACAGCATCAGAGGCTGAGAGGACAGCTGGAGACCGTGTTGTGTTCAGACCACCTGGCGTGAGTATTTTGAAAAACTTTTTTTGTGAAATGCCAACACAAATGGGTGCAAGTAACCAAGTTGATACTAAATAAGACTTTGTCTTTATATTAAGGATGATTTATGTTAAGGATGACCGGTAGGTACATTCCCGTCTGGTGATGCCCATTCATTGTTGCCCTCTAGCTGAAATGGTGTGTACAAAATATTATTATGTACACTTTCACATCGTGCTCATTCATCATCTTCAATGTCTACAAATGATTACAGGCTTTGAAAAAGGTAGATGAATTGTTTTTCTCACTGCAACAGTTTCCCAGAAATGTATGCAATTTTTGTTCTACCCACACACAGTTGTCAAGTTTAAAATTGAGCTATTTGGTAATAATATATTTAATTTAGGGACAGCAGACGAAATCAAATGTCAAAATACAACCAACATATGGACTTTCAAATTGATGCTCAGTTAGGCTATGAACCTCCAACACATCTACCTCCGTCCTCGACCCCTAGACACCTCCTCCTGCCTCCATTCCCAAGAAGACCAAATCCCCATCCCTAAAATGTTTCAAGTCAAACTGGCAATCCGTTGTGAGGAATGTTTGAATTTGCTGATGATGTGGTAATTGCAAATTGTGTGACCACACTTCTGTAGTCACAGTAAAGGTGTGCATGATCAATAAATAGTGTGAGCTGGTCAGGCAAAAATACCTATTTTGTTGGCACAGAAAAGTGTCGCCATGTTTTCTAACCAACTGTTTTCTTGTCCCATTAGACTGGCAAACAGGACATGATGTTCATGGGCAGCCTGACCGATTTTGAGAATCTGCGCGTGTGGATTCAGGACAAGTGTGTGCCCCTTGTCAGGGAGATTACTTTTGAAAATGCAGAGGTATGTAATTTTGCAGCTGTGCCATGGTGCTGACATAGTCGGATAAATGTGATCATGGGAAATTGAGTTTAGAATTTTGGACTGAGGGGACTCTGGTAAGAATATAGATCTCAAACAACCTATGCCAAATGTAAGAAGCAGCTATCGATCAGTTGGTCTGACTTGGTTAATGGCATGCCATATAGCTGGAAATATTGCCGAGTGGGGCATTTAGCCAAAAAAGTTAAAAAGAATTTTGGACAGTCTTGTCAGATTGTGATGCTATTTTCCTGTTGTATATGTTACAACTCCTTAGTTATTTTAAGCTCTAGATTTCTTTCATTAAATGAACTTTCATTCATTAACTTCTGACCGCCTCCATGGTCTTGTGGTAGAGCATCCACCCGGAGAGCGGATAGTCCAGGGTTGGATTCTTGCCCGTGTCATATCCTGCCTGGCGCTCGGCACCAAAGGGTTAAAACAAGGACTGGTCGGCTCTTAGTCAGTATATGATGTCTGAGTCGTGTATTAAACAGTGGTATGCATGGTATCTCACTGGGCTAGTAGTATAAAATTGGTATTAGTCCGGAATAGTACAAGCCGCCACATACACACACACGTGCATGCACATCGCTATATAAGTGCAATATTCTTGGATGTGACATTAAACCCCAATCCACCTCCCCTCATTAAGTTGTTGCCCATATAGTTTGCTTATTATGATGACAGTGTTATTTTATTAATATGTACGATTTGCTTTGTCAGGAATTGACAGAAGAGGGTTTGCCGTTCCTGATATTGTTTCACAACCCTGAGGACCATGCCGTGGTTGAAAAGTTTAATCATGAAGTTTCTACACAGCTATTGCATGAGAAAGGTTAATATCTACATGGCTGCTTATCTGATTTCAGATGGCATAAACTTGAAGTTACAAAATCTTAAATTATATGTCCAAAAGCATGAAAAGTCACAAGTGATTGCAATCACCTATTATATATTTATATATGTATGTATGTCATGAAAACATTCTTAAAATGTATTCAGTATATGTTTGCCGATGGAGTTGGTATGAATTCAATATTTGTTACTGTGTTTGTTTACAGCAATCACACAAAGACATTGTTTTGTTTTCCAGCAAATGTTAATTTCCTGACTGCTGATGGGAGTAAATTCACCCACCCTCTCCACCATATTGGCAAGACTCTGAGTGACCTGCCTGTCCTCGCCATTGACAGTTTCAGGCACATGTACATCTTCCCCCATGATGTAAAGAAGGATTTAGAGTATGTACACCTACCAATTCCAAATCTACCATGTCCAAATACATGTCAAATATGTAAATATGTGACTGTACTTCACCCCAGCGGAGAAGCTTGGTGACTTCATGGATCAGGTGGTCAGCCTAAGGTGCTTTGGTCCATTGTGTGTCATGTTACACCAATAACATGGGATCTTGCCGATAATTTCAGTCACTTGATTGTCTGATCCAGACTTGATTATTTACAGGCTGCCATGTTACAGCTGAAATATTGCTAAGTATGGCATTAAACATCAATCACTACGGAGCATCTCAATTACCACCTTCCCGAGGCAAGAGCATCTATTAGCCTTTTTTTTTTTTTTCATCAAAGTCATGTTTCCACTTTCCTGTGCTACATATGATTGGACTATATATATCGATAGAGAACGTTTCACAAAATCAACACCCACGACTGTACACGTTCGTATGGAAGTGATCTACTGCTGCCTCTCTTTGTTGACACGAATATGTCTTTTTCATTTTTTAAACCCCCAACAATTGCCTATGTTTTTGTGTCAGTGATGAAATTGCGAATGTTTTCGTTATCTCATCGACCATGTTGTAACCTATGTTAGTCGCCATCTTTGTGAAGCTATACATGATAAGAACAGCAATCTGATAGGATATTGCGTTTTCATTACAAGGGGCACAACTCATGATCTACGTGAGGTGGCGCCAGGGTCGAGCAAGGAAAAGTGGCCTTGATGTGGCAAGCGTAGAAAGTAGTCTTTGATATTGGCTAGTGGACATGCTTGTCTCAGGCAGATGCTCAAATACATACTTAACTATATTTGATTCTATCGTCATGATCATGATAGGCATGAGACTTAGTCATTGAATGAACTGTTGGATGATAGAGTTTGGTTGGTTGATCATTGTTGATAATGAAAACAATGCATGAGATGTAATGTAGCTTGTCTTTTGCTCCAGGGTGGGGTTTCCTGGAAAGAATAGGCCCAGTGTGTCTGTTGTTGAATATATACTGAATATTGACTGGTAAAATATGTGTACTGGTAAATGCAAACTGTTAGTCGCTGGTCGACTGCCTGTCTCCATCGTAAAATGACATTCTCTCTCTCTGCACTGATGGTTGTCAGTTGTTAAAATAAGGTTCCATTTTCTGTGTAGTCTTGAAATACCTTTTTGTTTTACAGTAAGCCAGGCATACTTAAAAAGTTCATTGAGGATCTTCATTCCGGGAAACTTCACCGAGAGTTCCATCATGGGCCTGATCCCACAGAGGCTACACCAGCACAGATCGCTAATGTAAGTATATGTGGGAGTTGTCTCCCCTGCCCGCCTAATTTGACATTGTTCAACAATGACAGATGATCCTACAAAGATACTTGTGCTAAAGATATGTTGTCACTTGACCAAATCTGACAATTAGACATGCATTTTTATTCCCCCGTTTTGAAAAACAAACCGGGTGATATAGCGATCATCATTCCCATCTGTCCATCTGTTTTCTATACTGATCAGACAAATGGTGAACTGGTGCCTATTGATGATTTGGGATTAAAATAAAATAGAATAGTAATTATGTTTTCATGACGATAAGTTGGGAGTCACGTTTTTGCTTTAATGAAGTAAACGGCTGAAATTTTACCCATGGTACAGTTTGTGTCAGAATTTACTAAGCCTAATTAGGTTGGCATCATTTTCAGAAGAATTTAGTGTTAACATGTTGGCTATTTAACAATATTATCTGACAGAAATTGAGGACACCGGTAGCCCTGTCATAGGAGTCTAAATTAGCATTGCTAACTTGCATCCTCAGGTGTGCAAGAAACCTGTCATTTTGGGTTTGAATCCTGTTCGTCCTGATTATGTTTCTAGGTTTGTCAGCACCACACCACCATGGTGAACGTGTAAGACCTCCCACATCAGATATTAATAACTGAAATTGTCAAAGCGGCATTAAACCAACTCATTCATTCATTCACTCACTCAAATAGTTCCTGCTATTTTACCTCATTTGCATATTTATCAGACCACCATGCAGTACATATCAGATTGTGGCTTTTGTTGAAGATTGATGGTGTACTAGATTGTTTGATTGCTGTTTGTGTAATGCCGCACTCAGCAATATTCCAGCTGTATGATGGCGGTCTGAAAAATAATCGATTCTGGACCAGACAATCCAGTGATTGACATCATGAGCATCAATTCACGCAATTGGGATACGATGACATGCCTCAACCAAGTCAACAAGCCTGACCACCCAATCCCGTTAATCACCTATTACAAAAAGCATAGTCGCCTTTTACGGCAAGCATGGGTTGGTGAAGACCTATTCTACCCCGGATCTTCACAGGTTGTGTACAGACTTCAATTTTCATGCCATTACTAAATTGTTACTGTTTTGTTTGCAGGAGCAGCCTGGAGATGCAAAACATGTACCAAAGGATACAGTTAGTGGTGGAACGCCACCACTTAAAAAACCAACATCGCCCCCGGAGTCAACATTTAGAAAGCTTGCACCCTCAAGCAACAGATATACTATACTCAAGGACGAGCTATAGATCATAAAAATCTCATTGAAAATGAAAAGCTGATTTTATATGTCTGTATGAAAGTGGAGTGAACCTGTTTGGGTGTATATATTCTTCTGAATGTGTATGTAATTGGGGATTCATATTTAATGATTTATGTGTCCCTCTCTACAGGGTTCACTGTGTTTCTGTTTATCATGTTGATGTAATTCTCTCAGAAAGTTGGAAACAATCAGATCCTGCTGTCAACTCCTGATATAATGAACTCAAAGGGATGTCTGGGTTAAAGTGTTTACCTCATGTTTGTCGAACACTCATGTACTTGAGTTTGGCTTAAAAAAAAATGGTCTTGGTTCTCAGGCACCACCCACATCATCAAAATTTTTAAGGTAGTCTAATACTGTATTCCAGTATTTTACATTTATGTAGGGAGGCCCTTTCCCAGGTTGATTGTACATAACTGTTTATTTCGTTACATACAAGTTTGAACAACCAAAAGAAGAAATAAGAGACACCGTCCACCCACACTATATGTTCAAAAACCATTGCTTGAGAACCAATTCTTTTATTTTGTTAGGCGTTATTGTCATGATTTTTTCATTTGTCTTGTCTGGAGTTGACTGTAGTTGGATACAATACATAAACACAACCAGGTCTTAGCAGCTGTAGTTGCTAGATTATAAAGGAGGAATAGTTTCCTCACACTGGCTACACACTGAACAGTCCCATTAGCTCCCTTCACTGCTGTGGTAGAAACAAATATGGTATTTCACTCTTATTATTTTGTAATTGAATCTTCAGTAGTCCTTGATGTTCAATTTCACCAGTTCATGAGTCTCGGTAATTATTATTTATTTCATCATAAATATATGCGTTATTTGAAGTGAATTGAAAGGGTCTATAGAGTAAGTGTGCATCGATAGCAAACAATAGCCTGAAATCCATATTATTTATCTCTGTTGTCAAAGGATATATTCTGAATACTTCAAATCTCTCTCTTCCTGTCATTTATATTTCAGTTTTATGGATTGATTTTGACCTGAAGTTGTAAAGGATACATTTCGTTGTGATGATGTGGATTATGAATTGTAATGTGTATTGTTTTACTTGTTGTTGCATGAACAGTTAACCAGGAGACACTGTTGCTGCTGTTTTAGCTCTTATGTTGCAGTTGAAATTTGTTACTGTATTCAGTTGTGCATAGAACAGTTCAGAATTAGTCAATGAGGATGAGATCGTGTGCCATTGTTAAATGTTTCCATAGCTTGATACTCGATTTCATCGGTGATTTTGTGGAAAGTGAAGTATTCGAGAACTTGCTTTCATTCTCATCAGCGAAATATCCTACAGATCTGGACCCAAAAAAAATCTTCTGCAGTCGCACATTTTGTCCTTTCTTAAGAAACCGCTGACACCAGGTTATATTGGTGTGTGTGATCCTGCAACTTGTGTCAGCTCATTGCAAGATCAAGATGGATTCTTATTGCTGTTATTTGTGTCCTCATCCTCAATTATCCAGGGTGCAATGTGTCCATTTTATTTGGATATGATAGAAGTAGCTGGCCAGTCAGTATACATATTAATAGAAAGGAGATGTAGTACGCTGGAATATTGAGGATGATTTATACAATATGAAGTGGTGTAGTTCTACACATGCCATGTTATCTATCATAATCAGTCATAAACTGCCTATTGCTGTTAAGCATTTGTTTTGTATATATAAAATTTAAATGGGGCAGTACAGGCAATAGTTGAAAGGCCAAAGTAGCAGTACATTGGATGTAGGTACCATAAATGATACCATAGAAGCTATTCTTGATAATCCTTAATAAACTTGAGTATGCTGTTGCATTTGTTACACATTCAGAAATGTGTAAAGGAACGTTAATGTTGAAGGATTCTGGTCATAATAGCCTGGTGTACATACCGTAGCCTCAAGTCACTGTACAGTGTGATCCTCACCCCAATATGTGATCCGTGACACCATCTGTCTGATTGCTAATGTGTGATTCTATCTTTCCTGTCTCTGTTATGTTCTTTTATTTCACTTCAACCGGTTTAAGTGTAATTTGGGAGTGCAATATGGCTTTCATTACAACCTCCTTGTGAAGACACTTATAAACCTCGTGACTGGAGGCTCATTTGGTAACAATCTGTATGCTCTCCCTGATTGTTCTTTCCTAGGATATGGTGATCACTTTTCTAGCCACTCATTTGTATATAGTCAAAGAACGAGGTATTTATTGAGCCAGAAAACAGGTATAAAATATAATTACTGATACACGTAGTTGCTTCAGTTTGTGCATGATTCTGCTTTGTTTCCTCATCAATATTTAATGATAAAGCTCAAATATATTCAGAATGATTTGCTCTCCGGATAAGCTCCTTAGATATATTGAAGCTGTATTGTCTCAAGGGAGCAATGTTACTGAACTTGGGATTCTGCCACACTTTTTTCAGTTTAAAGTAAGGAAACCTACTTTCGGGCATTTCATTTTATAAACACTCTTGGTCGTTGGTATATATATTCTGTATTACTTGTAGTGCTTTCTTTCATATTATGTTCTTTGAGAATTTGGTGATTTGTTGATTGCCTGAGTGTAAGAAATGGCATTTTTTAAACTGTGTGATATGGGGAAATATTTACATGCGATAGTTACATACTGTTCGCAAGGCTGTGGAAATCTGTATGCATATATATATTTGTGCCCACATTCGAACTTGGTCAAAATAAAAACATTTGCCAACATTCACACTCAACAAGATCTTCCTTACATTTTGAGTAATTTACCTCCATATGGGAATATATTTCTTGCCAAGGAAGTCTTCAGTTTGTAATAATTTATTTAATCAAAAATGGATACGATTTGCCTTTGCCTTTTTTTTTTTACTTGCATCCAGCCATTTTATGAACTCACATCAACCACACTGATATTCCTCGACCACACCACCTGAGTAAACAAAAACGAATCACAATGCAACATGTTTTGCCCTCATACTACTGGTGACTAAACCATGTTCAGTAGCACTGAAGCAAGTGCACAACGGCCACTGGTCCTGAGTCAAGTAAACATCTGTAAGAACTACATGTGTTTTTTTGCTCCCTAAGTCAGTTATATAAACTGCAAGTGAGAAATGAGCTAGCTGCATTAAACTCATTGTGTCTATTCTGATGCATTAAATCATAAATGTACATCCTCTTCATCAATAATAGATTCACTATCCATTGACAGAATCAGAACTGATTACATACTAGGGACAGACCATTTGATATTCTATCCCCAAAAAGTCTTGAAAACGTTGAAAAAAAACAAAATTGCCTGACGCAAAGACATTATTGCTGGGCGAGTTTCTTTAAAAAAGTCGGGCTCATGGTTTTAGATGAAATGTATATTGGGTTTTGGAGCTGTAGCTGAAGGGATATTTAATCTGGAAACAAAAATCCCAAGCCCCACCACCACCAGAATACCAAATGGTCAGTCCTTTACAAAGCGTATGTTAGCATTGAACTAAAAGAACAGGAGCCTTGTGATGTCTACATCAAGTTGGATCAAATGTGAAGATCCAATGAGGCTAGTAGTCATCATCTGTTGATGGTAGAGGGCACTCGACAGAGGAGTGGGCTACCTACCCTTGTCTCACTTCAGCTCTTGTACGTATCTTGTAACGCACTTGTGTTGTTTTATCTAATGTCACATGGAGATGTTTGGGGAGGACTTTCATATGAAGCTAATAAAATCTTTCAAGAAATAAAGCGTTGTTTGTTGTATTTGTGAGAGGATGTGTATTTTCTAAACATTTCAAGAGAAATTGATAAAATGTCTATTTATCTAGCTGGCTGATAATCATGAGTGTTATTAGACCAAGATTTTGATCCTTGGCTGGTCAGCACCATAAACATTCTGAATTTTTTTTTTTTTCCCGAAGCATCCAAATTTCAATGAAGTGTTATTCGGCTCAGCCACACGACACTATATGATGCAGTGAAATTAACTTAAATTTCACTATTTGTACAAATGTTAAAGGCTTCAGTCAAAATATGTATGATATTGTGTTTACCAATACAATATACATGTATTGTATATTAACCATAACATGCACTCCTGCTCTTCCAAAAGGCTCTATCAGCACTTACCTCTATTGCCATCAGTTATTCTTTTGTGGTATTTCAGTCTTGAATATCAGAATTATATTTATAATAAAGTAGTCTTGTATATTACCACTTAATGTTGCCTAATTCTTTGCATGACCGTAATGCATGACACTTGTTTATATAGACCGCCTCTGTGGTCCAGCATCTGCCCTGAGATTGGAACGTCAGGCGTTCGATCCCAGACGCATCATACCAAAAGATGGTACGTTACCATTCTTGGCACATTAAGGGGCTGAAACAAGGAGGACAAGTCGGCTCGGAGTCAGTAGCTGTGTCTTCGGGGTATTCATACCATTTTTGTTTGTTGTTTAACACCGCACTCAGCAATATTCCAGCTATATGACAGCGGTCTGTAAACAATCAAGTCTGGACCAGACAATCCAGTGATTGACATCATGAGCATCAATCCACGCAATTGGGATCAATGACATGCATCAACCAAGTCAGCGAGCCTGACCACCCGATCCCGTTAGTCACCTTTTACAACAAGCATAGGCGCCTTTTACGGCAAGCATGGGTTTCTGAAGACCTATTCCACCCTGGATCTTCACGGGTCTCTCAGTGGGCTAGCACTATAAAAGTGCAAGCAGACACAGACTGCTAAATACTGATCTAGTAATACTATTATGGTTCTATTCGAATGAACAAAACCTTCCAAATGGCGTGCTGGTTTTCTGGGGGGAATTAGTCAAAGAGCTGGCGTCACAGGAGACTAATCACAATTTTATTTACAAGAACAAGTAACAATGAACAATTTACAATATCTTAGAATATCGCTGAGGGCTCCACAGAGAGTTGGTACAACCCTCTGGGCTGTGGGAAAGTGGTCTGCTTGGTATGAGCGTCAAACCCCTTCTGCTCAACATTTTGCTTCTGTATGTATTTAACAAAAATTAGAACAATAAAATGGAATATGATTGGTTGATACAGGATGGGGTGTGCCCTATGGTTAATGAATGGCTAGACAGAGGGGAATACTTAATCCTGTTAATCCTGTTGGACTGGCACTAATCTTGTTGACATATTTACTGGGTGCTTGGAAAGAGATTATGGTATCACTATAGACGAGCTTGTCTGGGGGCTAATCCTTAATGAGTCTAAATTGAAGTAATTGCTGAATGTTATTCTAATATAGGTGATGACAGATTTACTTAAATAAAATAGTTCAAGGCAATCTATTAGACTATGTAGACATATCTTTTGTCTTATTGGATATTATGTCTGGGAGATGGGTTCCCGTTACCTAAGGCTAGCATCTATCTAAAAACTGACTGAAACTACTGATATTTTGTATATGCATTTTACCTGATGATATGTATTACTTTCTATTAAAACTATAATTATATAAAATGTTGTATAAATGTTACACAATGATAACTTATAAAAAGCCCTTGCTGTGGACTGATTATTATATGAAAACCTAGTATAAATGTTATATCATGATAACTCAAAGAGAAATTCCATTCAAGAGAAATAAAACAATTTCATAACACTTGTGTCAGTAACAAAATAACAAAAACAACTTCAATGAGAGCACCAAGACTGGACTAACCATTGCAGTGCCATAACAAATATCAGGAGTATATAAATATAGTATCTGGAATATATAAAAATCCTTACATATACCGGGTATATGGCAGTCATCTGTCCACCGGATCTTCTGAAGGATGGCTGTTGCAGTGACTAGATGTTGGTACAGCCTTGGGGGATTTGGGGTGGAACATGTTGCCAATATCCCCTTACACACTGTTGTGACATTGCTGTGATCACCCTTCCCATGGAAACTCACAGGGGTTCCATGAACAAGACTTCTCAGGAAAGGAATTCTGGAAATTAAAAAGGTAAAATTGAATAATCAGCTTCACTGCTTTCTAATAAGGGACTGATTATTTATGATAAGGGGGCTTGGAGGTTCTTTCAGATGAATGTATACTATCATAGTTCCTTCCTTGGGTGATCCTCCCCCAAACCTTGTCAATGTTTCACCATGTGCCTCTGTCCAGTTTCATCAATACAAACCTCTTTCTTTGCTTCCAAGATCTCAATAATGAAATACAGAATCTCACTTTAATGACCCTTCTCTCCCCTTAATTATCTCCACAAATGATAAGTTCCTTGTAAAAGAAAATCAGTTTTATGTAGCACTACACCAATATCATGATCAATGACTGCAGAAGGACAAAATGGCTGATCTTTTTCAATTTGTCTTCCCTTCACTAATCCCCTAGCTGTGCTGATCAAGGGATCCAATCTTAAACTGATAGAGCATGTGGTAAGTGGCATGCAAGTGGTATGTGTTACTTTATCATCCAAAACAGGTTCCCACAGGAGATATGCTTGGGTGAGATCAAGCGATATCTACACTGTAGATATCGCAGCAATGAAATTGCATCACAATGCTTTGCAGACCATTATGATGTCATTGTTTACCATGACATCACAATCAAATGACATCACTAATGGCTCTGCTACTGAAGCTGTTACACTTAAGACACTGCTTATTACTGTCTACAAACTGAAAAAGTTGGAAGAATGATGTTGGATGATAAATTAAATCTTACCCTCATGTCTTTTGATATAAAATATATCAACACTCATTGATTCGGCAAGCCTCAAAGTTTTCCTTCTTTAATCAACTCGTCTTGATATACTAGTATTTGATATCAAAAGACACTCGGGTGAGATTCTCCATGTAATAACCAGTACAGCCTCCACTTTCATTGGTAACATTCACGCCTGTGTATGGACAATACATCATTTCGACTGAACAATAGTATAGGGGTATGTCCTGAAATGAAGGTTTCATGTTCTGTGATATAACAACACCTGCTCAAAATTGTAATAGTAAATGGTGCCATCTTGACGGGCCATCTATAGCTAAGTGGTGGAGTCCGCTGATCAACCCTTCCTTCCAGGTCAACTAGTTGACATTAGAAGTATATCCACAAAACTTGAGTCAATTGAGCAAATTATTTCACTGTGAAAAGTCAGTAAAATAAGCCCTGAGTGAGACCTTTGGAAAATGAACAAACTTGAACTGATTTCTGTTCACTTGTTAGTAAAGACCTGTGAAAAGATGTCCATGTGTTGCTGATGCATGTTGAATTTTGTATCTGCGACTTTATTAGTAGATGCTATGGAATATGGAGTATGTATGATTCAAATGATGCAATAGTTAATGTTTTGTTGTGGGAAATAACAGAAAGGCTGACAAATTAAGCCTGTCATTTCACTGATGCGATGTTACCCAAGATATCCAGAATGCCAGGTGTTTCCTGACATAGAAAAGGCTGGGACAATGCATGGCGTTTTTCGAGTTACCTTCATGTCAGTTCATATTTTAGTGGACTTAACAATTCTAAGCCACTATTGAAACTAAACATCAGTACAAAATGTGTTGGTTTCCTGACATTCGGTAGCAAACGACCATTTTTGAATGAAAGTGCAACAGTGATCTGTTTCCTCATGGCCGCGTCTCTACATGTCACAAGTTGCTGCAGCACACATTGAGCCAGGAACCAATCAGGAAGTGATAAGTTGGAGGGTCACTTATATCATTTCAAAAGGAGAGTTATCACCCTTTGTAGCAAAATTATCACCCATAATGCTGACTATAAATGTCTGGGTAATGAGGAGATGCCAACCAAAAGACTGCCAGTACTTTTAACTAGATATTGACCTACCTTCAGACATTATCACCTGTGCAAAACCAATCAATAATTACTCGTATAAGTTTGGGATTGGAAGGTTTACAGAGGCTTGGTTATAAAGTAAAATGGAACAGATGATTTATTTTATTTATCAGAACTATAGTCTGTCATGCTACATCTTCCCAAGGCCAGCATGTCCACCTGGCTGTATCAAAGTTTTGTGTCCACCCTTGCCACTTCAAGCCTACTTTTCCGTGCTAAAATTTCCGGGGACTATCACACATACCGAAAGTCAAATCAGAGAATGTTTAACAAAATCCCCAACTGTGATCCTATATGTGGTCACTGCTATGGCTACAGCCATCACCTGTAGAATTTGTCCTGAAACTATTCCAAAAATGAAGCCAAGACAAATATTTTCGTAGTTGTCCAAAGTTTTCAATGAAAGCGCCCATGTACTTTTATACAGGGGAATCTGTCCAATAACATCCGTTACAGAGGTCATCTTCGTAAAGCTATTCCAAATTAGACCAGTAATTTGACTGGATACCACGTCTTGATCACAAGGGACACAACTTTTGTGTACACCAGGTGACACCACGTTCTAGCCAAGAAAAATAGGCTTGAAATGGCAAGGGTAGAAACTAGGCTTTGATATTAGACACTCTTGCCTCAGGATGATGGTCATGCTAATAATGACTGGTAATTCGTTTTCGGAAATATTAATTCCAGACACCAATTGACCATGGTATTTCGAAATATTGTGTTGGCATCTCAGCTAAAACCCTGTACACAAAATTTCAAAATACCTCTCTTTGCTAAGACAGGGTCCAGGACTTTAGCTTATAGAGTGGATATTTACCAAAACATCCATGTCAGACTGTGGAATCTCCCAGTCGAAGACCGAGGCATTGGCCAATATTCTGTCGGGTTTTGAAGACTTGGGGATTGTGATGTATCCCATCTGGACACTGTACCGGATAAGAACTTCAGCTGTTGTCCTTCCTAACCTGAAACACACCCTGGACATAAGTATATACAGACCTGGAAAAATGCTACATACCAATCCTTCACTTCCATACATCCTGAACATCCATGCATCAACATGTGACATTGATCTATTTCAATAATGTCTAAAATTCCACTGATGATGGATGATTATGGTTTTACGCCGCTTTTAGCAATATTCCAGCAATATCACGGCAGGGGACACCAGAAATGGGCTTCACACACTGTACCCATGTCGGGAATCGAATCCGGGTCTTCGGCGTGATGAGCAAACGCTTTAACCACCAGGCTACCCAACCGCCCCTAAAATTCCACTGATTTCTAAAACAAAACTCATAAGTCTATAAAGGAGAATAATTTTTCTAATGCCATACAGTTTTTCAATTGTTCTAATTGTTAAGGGAACAGAGTATGTTCTTCTAGATTGGCACTGTGTGTTTTAAACATCTTTTATTGACATTAAAACGTCAAATGTATTGGGCAAAAGTTGTTCATTTACAACGCTCTTTCCATAAACATATATATATATACAGACAGTGGACAATAGGGTAGAAATTTAACAAGGAAATAAACAACATGCACACAAAGTTCTATACTTCCACGGAAATAGTAACAAGTTTGGAAATGGTAAAACAAGAAATGTAAAATGAGATGTATCATGATGTATATGAGTATAAATTGTATATAGAAACATTAATCATATCTCTTTGTTGACAAAATAAATGTTTGCACACTATAAAACAAACATATTTTATGTTTTAATGAGCATGAAATATCACCATAAAGAATTATCTGGATCAAGAATTGACCTCCAACTGATAAAATATTGTTACATAATGAAGTTCTAATGGCAGGATAATGAGCACATTGAGACAAAAGTGACAGGGATTTCCAGACAGGCATGGTACGTTTTCTGACAAATTGACTTAAAATGTATCTGCATTGAGGGAACTACAGGAATGACTTAAAGAGATATGAAGTACTGTTTCACATCCTATGATTCACAGAAGTAGAATAAGCAGTTGAAAGGGTACTCAAATCACTATTTCCATGGAACAGTCATACAATGACAAAATCCTACAAGCATGAGCGCAGGTGCGTCATACTGATTTTACACGCTTACGAAAATTCTTGTATTTCCTGAGCGAGAGCAGACAAGTTTCGTAAAATCAGTATGATACAAATGCGAGTGTCATAATGTCTTTATTATCCATTGTTATTTAATCCTTTTGAAGTTTCCTTAAGAAAAATGCAGTGATCACGACCACTGTCTTGGAAAACCACAATTGTCGAATGACATCAACAGTCTTCAGTTATGATGACATTCCGAGCTAATGTCACAATAACATTCGAATGGCGTCAACAATGCTGTCCAGATGACGTAAACAATACACTGGTGCGATCAGGTCAAGTATACGGTCACTGAATGTCCTAAAAATAGGGGAAGATACATGTATCACATCAACTTAAGTAGTGCAGGTAAATAACACAAAGTGTAGCACTCCATACCTCTCAGCAACTTCCATCAAACATGGCTCCGTAAATCTTTGACCTTTCACAAGGGGCGAGAAACCCATGACTGCAATATTGTTGGCCTGACAGTACTGCACGATGTCCTTCTTCTTCATCCAAGGGTGGAGCTCGATCTGGTTGACTGTTGGTGTCGGCAACCCAGCCTCTTTCATTCCTTGGAGGTGGTGCACGCCAAAGTTGGACACACCTATGGATCTGATAGTTGATGTAATAGTGAGTGAGTGAGTGAGTGAGTGAGTGAGTGAGTGAGTGAGTGAGTGAGTGAGTGAGTGAGTGAGTGAGTGAGTGAGTGAGTGTTATAGAATGTCACATGCAAACCAGTGACTGACAGAATGAGCAGCATCAACTCCTTAGGGGCCTCTGACACGCAATACGTCAAGCAACAGAGCCTGACCACCCCATAAATTCTATTTGACAGTTATGACAAGCTTACAGGGGATATATTCTCCAAAATCACCAGCGGATGTAAGAGATCACTGTGGGAGTATGGATGGCTAACATATTACCAAAAAGAGTTGTAATTGATTGAGTGTTTGTTTGTTTGTTGTTTAAAAAGTTAAAACCCAGTCAGAAATATTCCAGCTATATGATGGCGGTCTTTAAATAATTGTGTCTGGACCAGAGAATCCAGTGATTGACAACATGAGCATCGATCCACGCAAATGGGATACGATGACATGCACCAACCAAGTCAGCAAGCCTGACCACCCAATCCCATTAGTCACCTCTTACGACAAGTATAGTCGTCTCTTACAGCAAGCATGATTTGCTGAAGACCTGTTCCAACCCGGATTTTCACGGGTTTAATTGATTGAATATAAAAACTTTTAATACAATGTTTGCACTGAGCAACTCTCAAAGATGAATGGCTTCATATTGCTGTTGTAGCTGTGTTTGGCATTTTCATTGTAAACAGAAAAGGGGAGAAACTCACTTGATAAGTCCTTGTTTCTGGAACTCCATCATGGTTTTGTAGGTTTCCACTATCTTCCCCCCCGAGGGAGAGTGAATAAGGTAGAGATCTACATAACCAATATCCAATCTGTGCAAATATGGAAAAAACAAATGTTATCATAACATAACACAGCAAAAGATTTTCATCCAAAAGAAATACATTTTATCTACAACAGACATAAATGGCAGTACAAGGATGGAATTGTGGCGTTATGTTTTGGCTGGACTAACAATTCTATGCAAAGTCCAATCAAAATTGCGTAACGAAATCGACACCCAATTCGTAAACTGCCGTGCCGATTTTGGTCGACAGGAGCATTTGCAAAGCATGAGTACCATCAACTTAGTGTCAACAGATATTTTCCAAATCTTTTCATGTTTTTAATCAATGTGATCACATGATTTGATGCACTTTGCAAAGTAAGACCTGTTTTTTACATAATAGAATTTCATTATCGATCAGATCGTCTCGACGGTGCTCCGCCCTTTTGTTTGAAGCAACTGCAAGTGATTTGAGATGTAGAATCTGATTGGTGAATAGGAGGGGCATAGAAGAGACATAACTTGAAATAGCCAATGGTGGCACTACGAGGGAACCCAGAAATTCCAGCCTAGTTCGGCAAGAGTGGAAACGGGAATTTTACAGTCAGTTAACTCCCTTGCCTCGAGAAAATGAGATATTACGATGATAGATTGACTTGAAATATATCGTACTGTAATCCTGGTAAAATGCAGTTGTACAGTGAACAAAAAAATATACCGGCTTCCAAAACTTACTTTTTAAGACTTGCTGTGAATGCAGAACGACACTGAGCTGATCCGTTAGTCCAGACTTTGGTGACAACAAAATAATCTTCCCTTTTAAGTCCAGATGCTTTTATCCCTTGGCCAACATCGCTTTCATTCCTAAAATAAAATGTGTTAGACAAGTATGAGACCAAAAGCAACTTACACAAGTTCATCTCGCTGAAAAGGAAACCTCTATTACCAATACATTTTGTGAATGAAGCTGTCATTTAGTTAATCCCACCCAACATATATAACTTAATTCAGTCGACTAAAAACTAAAAACTACATTTACTAAATAATAAGTCTACCTGTAATGTCACTCTGAATATCATGAATTTCAAACTGACACAACAGTCTTTAATAAAAATAATCTATAAACAAATTTACCAATGTGATAAACCGATGTGGAAAACTTTGCATCATGATCCATGATATGCATATATGGTCACCAACACTACAACGCAAAAGTATTTTACTTCATCCGCAAAATTTCTGCAGTAAATCTGCAGGAATTTTGTAAAACTTGCAGAATGTTTTTAAAACTTCTGCGTAATTACACAAACCCTAAGCATAACTATTGCGGACTATTCCAGATATCTACGAAAACTAATTACCCCTTTTATGGGACTAATTAGGTCTATGGCCCCGTGGCATCGGCACAAGTGTTGTGTAGGAAGACAAGTTATATCCTTTAAAAGGAAACAACATTCCAACACTCAGCTGTCTAGCCAGCACTGTTTTAATTAGCCCGCACCATCACCAGATGCCAGTTAGTGTCATCTTTCCGAGGCAAGTGAGTTAACTGACTATAAAAGTCCAGTTTCCACCCTTGCCGAACTAGGCTGGTATTATGGAGTTACATTTTGGCTGGACTAACGAGTCTATGCATAGTCCAATCAAAATCGCAGACCGAAATCGAAATCCGGTTCGTAATGTCATGCAGATTTCGGTTGACTGCAGGATTTGCAAAGCATGTGCACCGCTAACTCGTTATCAACAGATATTTTCTAAATCTTTTCATGCTTTTAATCAAGGTGCTCATGTGATTTGATGCACTTCGCGATGTAAGACTCGTTTTATCACAATATAGATCTTGATTATCAATCAGATCGTCTTGACTGGGCTCTACCGTTTTGTTTGAAGCAAATGCAAGTGATACGAGAGGTTGAATCTGATTGGTCAGTAATAGAGGCATAGAAAGGACATAACTCGCAATAGCCACTGGTGGCACTACGATCGATCCCAGGAATTCCAGCCTAGTTCGGCAAGGGTGGAAACTGGACTTTTAAAGTCAGTTAACTCCCTTGCCTCGGGAAGATGGTTAGTGTCAACTGGGCTTCGGACCACCTCGTTGACAGCGAGGGGGAATCCCCTTGATTCCTCACATTTGATTGGATGATGCTTACTATAACCTTGCAAAGTCTGTGTGTGTAATTGTGTATGTACGACCCTTATTTTTCAGGCAAATTGCATATAATACAACAATTACTACTTCCTTCTTGTCAACCATTTTTTATGGTAAAACCCTACACCTGTGTATTTGTCGTCATTCACTTGAAGCTCAGTTAATGACAACTTTGTTTCAGGTAGAATTAGTGGTAGAACCACTCAGATTACCTGACAGAGACGATGCAAAATAACTCAATAACGCTCACCCCTGCCTCTGAAGTTGTCAAGGATACATATAGCAATCAATGGTTCGCATTTGACATTTCTCGTGTCTGGGGTAATTATTCAATCAAAGATTTGGTCATAAATCCAGGTCTGATGTTGTGAAGGTATTACATGTAATATGCACGTGGCAGCACAGCAAGAGAGGAATGGTCATTTTGAGTTGCTAAAAAAATATTGATCGAAGTATTAACCGATGATATGTTGATTGATTAATCACTGTTATCATGCACAGTGGATTTGTCCAATGTAAATGTTTATATGTGTAGGTTTGCTAAAGCAGACAGAATACACCCATATCTAGGCATGAAGTGCTTACCGGTACGTGAAAACAACATACTTTGTTCAAAGGATTACCCGATAGTATGTTGATTGATTGCTGATTATTGTCTGACTCCAAGGATTTTGAAAGAACAGTGGACATCATGAACATAATTATCACATAATTATAACAAACCTACGTGACCAGTTGAGAGATGAAGACAGGTTATAATATCCCGGAACGCTATATATTCAAAATATTAGATTGTTACAAAGACATGTGACATCGATCAAGTTTCTTTGTACAGTTTCAGCTGTATGGTATATTAATCCATTATGTTTATATTGACGGATACATACCTCAAACAAGGTAACTGTCTATTATTATACATATAACTTAAGCATTTGGCTTCATTCATTTGCTGTAGCAGGAACGCGAGGCCTCAATGGTGACTGATCAAATTATTTCATACATAAAACATATCTGGCAATAGATATCAGCTGCTCCAAAGTGCTATGCTTATGGTTATTATTATTTTTAATATATACAGTAATCAGTAATCAGTGGTAATGCAACTAAAATAACTCACTATTGGAATATATAATTGCTGATTAAATGATAGTTTCAGATACAATTCATCCTATCACTGCATCAAAATTCTTGGAAGTTATATTCATTAGGAATTTCTTAACTAAACCACTGGTAGATTGTTAGAATTGGTAGCTGTTTAGTGTCCTTTCGTGCGCACTGACATTATTTAGTTCACATTCTTTCGATGTGACGTCTTTTTGTAACATTTGACTATTATTGCAAACATTTGTCCTTTATTTTAACTTTGTATGTTTTGACCGATTGGCTGCCAATAGAATACCCCACTCGGACACAGTATACTGACTCCGAGCCAAACAGTCCTTGTTTTAGCCACTTAATGCCGAGCGCCAGGCAGGGTAATAAAAAAGTACCATCTTTTACCGCCATTTATCTAGATATAGATAGATAATAGTAATTAAGGTTTGCTGTGGATCTTACCCATAGAATTCAGCTGTGTCAATCATCTTATACCCATTCTTTAGGGCGTGAGTGACAGCCTTTTCAGCACTGCCGCCAGAGCCCGATTTGCTGAGGTACATCCCCAGACCAAACATAGGCATGGTGTTCCCATCATTCAGGGTGACGGTGCTGGAGAGGTTCTTGCATATCGTAACCATTGTGCTTAATCTTCTGGACATCAAATCTAAAATAAAATCATCTTACTTCAAACATGAATTTTGATCTCATCAGATCTTAAACAAAATGGCAATACATGCTTAGATCCATCCATTAGTCACCAAGACCAAATAGAGTCAGCATCTAACTGAAGCTGAAACTCTAATAGATGTGTCTTGATTGGTAAACACATGCTAAGGTTGCAGTCAGAATCACACAATGGACTTTAGTCACTTTTGTTTGCAAAACACCGCCATGACATTTTTAGAATCCTGCATTCTGATTTGCCCATCAGCGGTTCATATCTACATAAGGCCATAATATTTCTGATGACTGCATCTCTACAAAACAAATAACAAATGATTTCAAAGCACTTCTTCGTCCCCATTTAGAAGCACTATGGCCATACATCAACAGAAAGAGATCCTGGCATGGTATGGGACAGCTCTACACTAGGAAAGAATTACATGCAATATCACGGCGGGGGACACCAGAAATGGGCTTCACACATTGTACCCATGTCAGGAATCGAACCCGGGTTTTCAGCGTGACGAGCGAACGCTTTAACCACCAGACTACCCGACCGCCCACACTAGGAAAGAATTACATGCAGTTAACTGTACGCTCTTCAGAACAATATGTAACTTCGTTAAAATGAGTTTATACATTTTATTATACAGTGGCTCTCTTCCAAATTTACTGTAGTCCATGAAATTTGGTGTTGAGTAACAAAGAGCAGCTGCAATTATAAGAACTTTTCTATTTACTATCCAATAAGAATTGTATTTTCATATCCCCAAAATTTTGAACTATACAAATCAGGGCAAACATGGTGTCAAATGCTGCTTACAAACATGAAGAGGCAAGTTATTATTTCATGCTTTCTTTAATAATGCAATCATAGCTTTAGTTGCATTTACCAATAATATTTTTATCGCTACTGTGAATACCCTATTATTGTTGTGAGTATGAGTGAGTGAGTATGGTTTTAAGCTGCTTTTAGCAATATTCCAGCAATATCACGGCGGGGGACACCAGAAATGGGCTTCACACATTGTACCCATGTCGGGAATCCAACCCGGGTCTTCGGCGTGACAAGCCAACGCTTTAACCACTAGGCTACCCGACCACCCCCTTTTATTGTTGTGAAAATAAAGTATGATACATAAAAAATAACATCTCTTTAGACAATGTTCATGAATGTATAGGCAGAGGACAGATAACGACTGGAGTAGTCCATTATTCTATAGGTAGGCTAATTTTACCCCCTTCCTTTTTTGGTAGTCATAATGGGAATGTTGGTTTGTTGCTTAACGTTGTACTCAGCAATATTCCAGCTATATGGCGGCGGTCTGTATATAACTGAGTCTGGACCAGACAATACAGTGATCAGAATCAATCTACCCAATTGGGATACAATGACATGCATCAACCAAGTCAGCGAGCTTGATCACCCGATCCCGTTAGTCGCCTCCTACGAAAAGCATAGTCAGCCTCTTACACAAGCATGGGTTGCTGAAGGCAGATTCTCTACCTGGATCTACACGGGACTCATAATGGGAATGAACCCTTTCAGGCTGTCCCTTGCATGGGAGGGGTGGTGGGACAGGGTGACCATTAGGGCTGGCTGGCCATCCATAGATCATAGAGATTTATAATCGTAAACTAAATATCGATCCATTATCGATAAATATCGGAGAAGTAACTTTGTGCAAATATGCAAAAAAAGTCTGAAGGAAATCAACACACTTCATGCCACTGTGAGCCAGTGATTGATATCATGAGCATTGATCCACACAATTGGGATACGATGACATGCATCAACCAAGTCAGCGAGCCTGACCACCCGATCCCGTAAGTCACCTATTACAAAAAGCATAGTCGCCTTTTACGGCAAGCATGGGTTGGTGAAGACCTATTCTACCCCGGATCTTCACGGGTCTGGTGTACAGAGTGACTTCAATTTTCATGCCATTACTAAATTGTTACTGGAGCAGCCGGGAGATGCAAAACATGTACCAAAGGATACAGTTAGTGGTGGAACTTAAAGCAAGCATAGGTTGCTGAAGACCTATTCTACCCCGGACCTTCTCGGGTCTAAAGTCTTCAAGAGAAATTAGTTTTGTCACATCTAGTAAAACAGTAAATGAATCACCATTTAGAAGTCAAATAGCCCAAATTTCTGTTAAAAGACACTAGTTTACCAATAAACCCAGGGTCAGTATAGTGTCCGGAATCCCCACAGGGACATTCACTTGTGACTTTGGTGTCATAGAACTACTGGAAAACAGTGAAGTTGTAGCCACTCCCAGCTCCCACCAAGTTATGGTGGACCCATAGACAAACCTGGAGTGAATTCGCAGACACATTTCTTATATTGGAATAGAATCATAATAATTACTTATTAAAGAACAGTTTCTTGTACATGGCATATGATTGGTTGCGTCACTTCCTAAATGAAAGAGATATTTCGATTGGTTGCAAGTTTCAAGTATGTTTCTGAGTGTTTTGATTGGCAGGGCCTTTTGTGAATAAAGTATTAAATAAAAAATAAGGTAAGTATTAAAATTAGTATATCTTTTGCAGGATCCATTATCATAAATAAATAATTCTTGATTCTATGTAACTGTAAATAATCAGGTAAGTAATCTGTTCTATTCTCTATTGTATTTGTTTTGTCTATGAGTTCACCTTGAATTTTGTCAACAAGTTGGGAGTGGCTATGAATTCTCCATGGCTACGAATTGGTTTGGTTATGAATTCACCTATATCCATACAACTGCAGTACAAATGCTTTGGGTTACAGCGATCTGGTTTCACTGACCCTTGAAGGAACTGCACTGTCAGCAGATAATCTTGATAATGGTCCAAGAATCTACATCTAAACAATGCTAAATGCAAGAAACCAAGATGCTGTATATAAAGTTTTATGATTTAAACAATATTTAATTCCAAGAAAAAGGAATGGGATTGGTGAACAGGTTCAACCTATTTAAACACCTCTCCCTACAAAGAACATTTAACAATTAATAAGAGTAAACTGTACATAAAATAATAAATTTAGATTGATTGTGCCTACTGTTGCAAATATTATGATGATATACAAGTCACACACAAATACATGCATACATATATCAGTACATAAACAAACAGCAAACCAGCATATCACACATACAATTTACTATTTGATCGATGTAATCGTTATGAAGACATATTTAGATTTTAAATCTTTTTGATTTTGCAATGAACAAATGGACAGATTGTACAATAGTAAGGTTAGTATCAGTAGATGTTGTAGCATTTCATTATAATACTGAATCCAAGTCATATCCCTTTATATAGTAGTACATATCATTCCTAAGATTACACATGTTGCGACATGAAAAGAAGTACCCGTAATGTGTAGGATCCTAATAATGATATCCACAGGAGCAGGTAGTAGAATCATGAATGTGTCTATGATATTTGTGTGCATTTATAATGACAATTCAACACAAAACTTGCAACAATGATTTTATACCTGAGACACATTCAATATAATACATACCTAACAAAGTTTGGTGTAAGGGGATTCTCACTGCAAACATGTGACTAGAAAGCTATTGGTACATGTACATGACTGAGCATCAGTCATGCCCAGCTAGGGCTCGATTCGCCTCGCACAACTGACAACCTTCCCAAGCATTGGGTTTAAACACAGGAGAATCAACTACATGAACCTGACTTATGTGTACCTGACTGAGCATTGGTCAGGCCCAAGCTGTTGGGATCAATTGTCGAGAGTGATACATAGAAAACAAAGGTTTCGACAATTAACTACACATCTATGATTCTACACTACAGATAGAACGCATTAGATGCTAAATACCATGAAAGAAGTAATGTGTAGGATCCTCATAATGATATCCACAGGAGCAGGTAGTAGAATCATGAATATGTCTTTGATATTTGTGTGCATTTAAATCACTGCATCCTAATCTGAGGCGGCAATGGATAATTTGACAGAAACGGGTACCATAGTCTAAGTTAAAGCTAAATATTTTAGGATTTTCTGTCTTGGTGATACATTTAGTGAAGTCATTTACACTATATTTTGACTGAACATTATCCGGTAATTCATTCCACATTCGCACTGTCGGGTAAAAATGATTTGTGGTAGTTAACTGTTCTAGCATTTACAGTCTGTAGTTGTGAAGAATTCATAAATTGTAACGTGAGCCCGCTGAGACATTAGGAGGAACAAGATTACATAGATATTCAGGGGCCAACTTGTTTACCATTTTGTAAAATATTTTTAATTTATGAGATTGCCGTCTTTTGGATAAGTGTGTAAGGTTAGTTTCAGAGTATAGAGACTCGTGGCTGGTACCACGTGTAGCTCCACATATTGTTCTCAGTGCGTCTAAATTTAGCTTTTCCAATACCAACGCTTGTTCTTGAGAACAGTTATCCAATACTTGGTCACAATAGTCGAATATTGGTAAAATAAATGATAAATACAGTGGTCCCTCGACTTAACGCTCCTCGATGTACCCCTACTTCGGATGCACCGCGGGGTAAACCTTGGCTCCCAAAATGCATGAAGAATTTCCCCCTAAAAGCGTGTTAAAGCAAAAAAGTTACAAATAAACTGATGAGATTTAATTCCCAGTCAAAGTACACGTGTGTGTATTTGTAAAATAATTACGTTCATTGTATTCGGCTGCATGTGATCGAAACCATTCTGCCTTTTGTTCCGGTTGTGAAAAAACATATCGTACACAGATCTGTGTAATATATTCTGTAATGTTTTTCTGGACAGGCAGTATTTGAAAGTTCTAAAGCAGTTAATCATTGGGCTTACTTTATCTACTATATTATCTATATGATTTGACCAGTAGCCATCTTGCTGTAAAATTAGCCCTTGGTGTTTGTGCGATTAGACCTCTGTTATTGGAGTACCTTTCATTCTAAGAACAGGTTTTTCAATTGGGTTAATTTTTCTTAAAAACATTATGGTTTCGGTTTTGTGTGGATTAAACATTACATGCCATTTATTCGCCCATATGGATATCTTTTCTAGATCAACATTTAAATTAATCGCTGCTGTGTTAGGATCATCGACAATAATATAAAGTGACGTATCGTCTGCAAAGAGACGTATATTACTGTCTATATCATCAACCAGGTCATTTATAAAGATCAAAAATAATAATGGTCCTAGGACCGATCCCTGTGGAATACCTGCCGTGATAGATTTTAACTGCGATTCTTTACCATTAATAACCACTTTTTGTATTCTATTTGATAGATAACTGTCAAACCATTTCAACAACTTTCCTCGAATTCCACATGAAGATAATTAATAAAGTAATCCTTTATGCCAGACTTTATCAAAGGCCTTGCTAATATCACAAAACACTGCCCTTACTTCTTTTCCATTGTCCAGAGCCTATGTGATCTATATAGAATACCCGCATTACAAAAATGTAAACAATTATGGAATGTATGCATGTTCTTTGGGTGCATCGATGTTGCAAATATGCCCACCGACTGCCTGTAATGTACAATATCAACCCCCATCGTCGAAGTTCATTTCAAGCCAAGTATTATATACTGACACACAATCGGTGGTTGGAAGTGAAAGTGTGAGGACGTCTTCAAAAATACATTTGGAAATAACAGTGATGATATGCAAGGTAATATTTGCACAATAGGGACAGTAAAACACAAGGATTTGCTGGGGAAAATGTAAGTGATAAATATTGGTAAATTGAACAGTAAGAAGAAAGGATAAAATCAACGTCACCATAGTTTGGTGTAGAGTAATGAGAAACTAACTGAGAGGGGGAAATAATATAAGATATGTTTTCATAACAGATTGTGTGAACAGAAGTACTAGATAAATTTAATATAAAACAAAAATAGATAGTTAAATAAAATAATAATATGAAGATTATGTCCATAGTGATCAATAAACTAAGCTCACGCCCGGGGCAAGTCTAGGTTCTGGCACACCTGGATTAATTGCACGGACTCGGCACGTGCACATGAAATGAACAAGCCACAACGGCGTAATCAAAATTAGCCTTCTAACATAAAGTATTATGATTTGTTACTGTCAGTAGTCCTTTGACATGTTTAATGACTTTCTCTGAAACCATCTATTACACCTGGGTTAATTGACTCACATAGTCATGCTATCTGAAGCAGTAACAGGCATACATTGAACTTTGATCTGGGTCTACGAACAGTTTTCCTTACCAAATAATGAAATTGAACATGTTGTTCTGTACCATGACTCTGGAACACCTGTTATTGTTGGTCTCAAAACCATTTTAGATGAAAAAACAACAACAGGCAAATTTAGTGTGCTATTTCCACATTCTCACGTGTACACACACGTGCCAATAGGGACATTAGGGTCTTTTGTGAGTAGGTCCCTTTGTTTCATTTGTTCATATAGAAAGGTACATGTTGTCCATTTCAGTAGTAGCGGTAACAGGTGCCTGTATCTTTGCTCTATGGTCGTGACTGCACATACGCTCATTACCATAGAGAAAGGACTTCGTCGAGCACCTATGTCCTTGTAAGTCCGCATGGCTGTGCCGAATAGATCCCAGCAGTAGGGATCCTAAACGATTGTGTAATGTTGCCTTCTAATCAATACAAAGAAGACTACTATTAGATCTACCATTGAGAAAAGGTTCCACAATTTTTAAAAAATTAAAATATACACTCATTGCGGTATAAATGACTTTGATAGGTGTTGAGAATTAACTGTTACTTGAATGAAAGGGGGGTAACTCTTGTATCTGTCTGTTACAGTTGGCTTATTCACCCACCTTAAAAAAATACAAAAACAGATTTTATTACCGAAATAATGCAATTAATATTTTCATGAAATATGTTTTCACCTCAGTACAAAATAGAAATTACTTTGAATAATAAAAAAGCATTGTTTTATGAAAAATGAAAGACACCAAACTCTGCCCAAACAAGTCCATGGTCCACCACTGTATGGAGCTCGGGGGCGTCTGCTTCTCCAAGATATGATATTTCCTTACAACTATTAATGAATGACTTGGTCTTCATTACACAGTGGCCTCAGAAGAATAGTATTTAGAGTTATATCCCCTTACTTTCTTGACAACTTATTTTATAGCAGTTCATGCCTAATGCACCTGAAATGAACTCACTATTTGGAAAATTATGCAGATAATGTAGGACTTTAAATCATACCTTCACCACACATTATGGATTTTTTTTATCTTCCAAACATAATAAAATAAAGTTACCATGGCTCATCAATTTGTGCATCTGATGCGCAAATATTAAGAGTGTATTTTAACATATTAATTTTCACAATTATCATAAAATAAACAATAATAAACTGGAAGTGTTTCAGAGTGGTTTCAAGAGTGATTAAAGAATATCCTTATCACTATTCACTACGGTTTATTCAACTGTTATTACTTTATGTCTATACATCATATATATGTTTCTAATGTTTGGCATAACATTTCAACATATGTTTGAAGAAAATGGCAATCAATTTACAGTGCATTTAGCATTCACTTAACTATTCATATGTCTGTGTTTCACAGCATCCTTCCAATGAAATGATTTGTTTGTTTGCTGTTTAACGCCGCACTCAGCAATATTCCAGCTATATGGCGCCGGCCTCTGAATACTCAAGTCTGGACCAGACAATCCTGTGATTAACACCATGAGCATCGATCTACGCATTTGGGATACATGTCAACGAGCCAGGCCACACAATCCCGTTAGTAGCCTCTGACGTCGACGTGCATGGGTTGCTGTACATCCACTTTAACCTGGATTTGATATTACCATGACAACTTGAGATATATATTGGTAATCATCTAGTCAGCAAAATACAGTGAACATGCATGTTTTAAATTTTGTACATGTTTACACAGTGTTTAGTTTTTGCAATATTATGTCTCGATCTACATCTTCTTTTATCATGACATCATTTCTGTGAATCGAATAAGCGCTCTCAACTTGATGACGTCATTTATTGGATGACATTATTTTTTAGAGGGAAGTGTCCAGTGGGTTTTCCCTATAGATGTAGCTGTTCCACACAGATAAAGGCAGTGGCAAAACCATCACACCCAAAAGTGGGAGACATACATGACAATCAGTATTAGGAGAAATGGTACAGATAATCGACGTGAGCATTGCGAGAATATGCTGGAAATAACAAATGTTACCCTGCACTTGTCCGTAACATGGACAAGTTTCATTTCTGTTTGCCATGACAATCTGATTGTTAATTTAGTGGTAAGTGCATATTCATATCTTCTCATTTATTTATACTTAACACATCTATTTTTTAAAAACCTGCATACTTCATTATTAAATACATCCCTGTATTTATGATGTTGTTCACTAAACATCCATATCATAATAAATTAAGTGACTTAGTATGATATTCAAAATGTACGTACCAAATACACACTTTTGATTTTTCTATTTTCTTATGACTAAAAACTGTATGTATACCTATTTATACTTATAATGGTAATATTTCGGACAACGTTAAAAGGGGGAATTCCAGAAAAATTATTAATAGACACTACAGGTACGGGACCAGTTGGTACACAGTTTTGAAGTTTGCACGAGAATGGTCAAACAAGCCTGAAACAAAAACAAAGA